CGCCTTGCTCTTGGCCGGTTGTACCATCAGGATTCCTTCATCCAGGATGGGGGTCCCATCTGCGCTGTCGAAGTCTCCCCCTGCCCGACTCTCCCTCTCTGCGTGAAAGATGTGGGCGCTGGGGTCCAGGGTGACGGTGGATTTGCTGGTGCACAGACCCATGACTGCAAGAAAAATGTTGTACATGAGCTAAAATGTTGTAAAAAGTTGTCTTGTTTTTTTGGTAGTTTAGATTTATTTAGTTTGTTGTTCTAGAATTATGGAATGGGATATGTAAGCAAATTTGCACACACTATCTGCCCACACTAAATAAACTTAAATAACTATAAATCCCACAAATCTACAGTAATCAAGACATATTCCATTTTTGCAGGATGGATGGGACACCTTACTGCAAATGTATGTTGGTAGTTTGCATTTTCTGCTAGTTGAGATTAATCTTACCCCAAAAACCAAACTGTGTGCTGGAAAAATCTGTGCAAGAGTCCCAAGACCAGTTTAATTTAGAATGAATAAAAATGTAAAGAAGTCTGCCAGAATCCAGGTTGAAAAGCTGAATGCAAAAGTAGAAAGAGTCCTGGTCGCTTCAGGAAGGTTCCGTGGAACTTTTCTTGGTATGTTCTCTGGTTGTAGTGCAGTCCGTGTACGCTGTAGATCTCCCTGCACACTGGTGGTGAGTGACCTGTCCACAGCAGACTCCTCTTACTGCTGTCAAAACAAGAGGCACTTGAGCTCAAATTAGCACCATTGTCTTCCATTCGTAACAAGCGCCCTGCCTTGAATTTTATCTGTTTTTATTCACAGAAACACAGGTGAATTTACAAGTCTTATATTACACTAAACTGACCTCCTCAAAAACAGACTTGGAGTTGTGTTTTGTTTCATTCATACATGTATCAGTAATCCACATTAATTAGTCTGTCTACATCTCCAAAATTCTTTCCTTTTACTTTTTGTTCAGCAGAGATTGTCAATTCCAGGGCTGAAATTATCCAAATGATTCCAGTGAAGATGTGTGGCATTTACAAACACAGTGGAGCACTTCCTGTATTAGGCAAGGCAAGGTAAGTTTATCTGTATAGCACAATTCGTCCATCCATCCATTTTCTTCTGCTTATCCAGGGCCGGGTCACGGGGGCACCCAGACTTCCCGTTCCACACACGCTTTCTCCAGCTCTGCAGGGGGGACCCCGAGGTGTTCCCTGGCCAGGCGAGAGACATAGTCCCTCCAGCATGTCCTGGGTCTTCCCCAGGGCCTCCTCCTGGTGGGACATGCCCGGAACACCTCTCCAGGGAGGCGTCCAGGAGGCATCCGGAACAGATGCCTGAGCCACCTCAACTGCTCCTCTAGACGTGGATGAACAGCGGCTCTACTCCGAGCTCCTCACGCTATCTCTAAGGGAGCATCCAGCCACCCTGCGGAGGAAACTCATTTTGGCCGCTTGTATCCACGATCTTATCCTTTCAGTCATTACCCAGAGCTCATGACCATAGGTGAGGGGAGGAGCATAGATTGACGGTAAAGCTCTTGATTTACCGCCTCAATTCAACTCATTTCATGTCATTCACAAAGTAATTCAAAGTACTTTACAGAACAAAAAATGCATTAAAATCACAATAAAACCAAACCAAAACATAAATAATCATCATAAAATTAAAAAGAGGGAGAGAGAGATTAAATGAGAGAGAAGAGTGTGGAATGAAAAATGAAAAACCTTTCAGTCATATGCAGCTAATCAGAAATGTTTTGTGCCTGGATTTAAACGGAGTGAAAGCATAGACCTGTCTCAAATGTTCAGACTGTTCCAGGTTTTAGCTGCATGAATCTGAAACACTGACTCTCCTTGTTTAGTCGTGACTCTGGGCACCAGCAGGAGGCCGGTCCCTGAGCTCCTCAGAGTGTGAGATGGTTCATATGACACTAACATGTCACACAGATGGACTTTGGTGCTTCTAATTCAAAATCAGATTCATTTCAAATTCCAAAAAGTTTATTGTCAATTCTTTATACAAAACATATGAAGAATTGAAACTGTTTCTCACTCCCAAGGGTATAAAAAAATTACAACAGAAGGAAAAGTTCAAGGATATAAGACCTTTAATTAAAATATAAACATAAACAATTTGCAATGAAACAAAAGATGCATGGGCAACAACACGGGAGAACAAAAGACCACAGAAACAGGAACATCTAGTCTGGGTCTGGCTCTCTGCTCCCAGGCACCGCCATCTTGTGGACAAAGCCGGAATTACTAGTTTGAACTGATTGTACTGCAATTCTTGACAGTGTAATATAGATCATTTAATTAAAAAAATAAAAAATAAAATAATGAACGGGTTGCTGGTTCAAATCCAGCTCAGACACATCCTAGCGTCCCTGGGTAAGACTCTTCACTGCCAAACCAGAGCTGAAAGCAGGGGTGAGGGTAAGGTTTCTGTGAAGAATTAAATATTTTTGGTCAAAATGATCTATCTTTCAAGGGCTGTGTACAACGGAACAGTTTGTCAGCCTTTGTCAGAGAGACCTCCATCAAGTCATTTAAAGCAGACGTCTTACGCTAAATAAACTTCAACTGTGTTATAGTTGTTTCCCCTCAACATTTACTCACCCAAACTTGTATTTGGAGTGATTTGTGCATGTTTGAGTCATTTTGGATCATTTATTTCCAAGATGCTATATTGCAGATCAACCCCTGCTTTCACTGCCACCAGCACACGCCCATGTTACCTTATTTAGCCAGGAGGTCCCATTGCGAGTCAAAATCTCTTTTTCAAAAGTGACATGATCAAGGTAGCAGCCAACACAATCAATACAAAACTGTCAAATATCAAAATTTAGAATTATTTATAAAACCATTTGCACCTCTCTGGAAAAACATGACACTCGCCTGAGACACTGCATTTTTTACAGTTACCAAGTAACACCGTAGATTCCAATTAAAGACCTTTCTGTAAAAACTGGTCAAATGTCTTTTTATCACTGAGCTGAGGTTCAGGCTTTGACAAGCCTGCTACTGAATTAAAGATGGCTACGTCCAACCAGCTTTGTAGTATTGATCTTATTTTGCCTTGTTCACTTTTGCTGTAAATGCGTCCAAAGAGCACATTGAGGTTGATTTGTTTAAAATGTTCATGTACACCAACACTAGCCTGATTCATCAGCCGGTTTCACTTCGTAGAAACTGTCTGACCTCACAGCATTAGGATTCATTCGCTTGACGGTAGACGGGTACTTTTTTTCATTTAACCAATCACTGCTATTTGGTCGTGACATATGTAATGCGCCACTAACGGGGCTAACTGGTATATTAAGCTTTTCCCAAATCCTGTAGGAAGAAGGACAATAACGTCTTTCCCCTTGATAAAATTCACCAAACATTCTCTTTGTTCTGGCTTTAAATCCTCGATCTCAGGAATCGTTGACAATATAGAATATATGGCTCTTTGCTGATTGGCTGATGCCCGAACTCTCACTTCCGGGGTTACTAGTGTATTCCGATCCCTGACCTAGTCACAGGAAAGAAATGAAATTGAGTGGAGGCACTAGGTGGCACCAGCCTGACTATACCAACACAACACACTGCACCGATTCTCTGGGAAGCTCTAAAACGGCTTTGTTGTCCGTACAGAACTTATATGATGTCAAGATCAGCAGCTCCATGCAAAATAATACAATATAACTGACGATATAACACTTCTCAGATAAGTGTTTCCTGAGGTCCTCAGACACACGTGGTTTGAGCAGATCCTTGTGGCAGCCTCAGCTGGGGTGGAGGGCTCTTCATATGGACTGGAGGAGCACAGAGGGCTGGGATCTGCTTTTGGCACAGACATGCTCAGAGAACTGTTCAAATGACATACGGTGTTTTACTAAGTCTAAACTTGTACTGGACTTGGAGTCTTGCTGAAGTGTTTAGTCAGAAAACTCAGTGGGAGCTACACAAACACATTTAAATCATCATCTTTACCCCAAAACCAGACTAATCCTGGCCCAGCCTATACCCTAGAACCTAGTGTATTTGCATTACCAAAACTTTGCAGCTGTAACTGGCTCAGTGTACAACAGCACTCAGCAGCCTCAGTGTCAGCATCACTCCCTGATTGTAACTTCATGAGGTTTGAGTTGCTCTAAAGTGAGGAGATGTGTAAAGATAAGCCAGTGGACAGAGAGTTGTGGGCTGGACTGGCCATCTGGAGCACCAAGAGATTTTCTTCTGCCGAGAGACTGTCAGACCTGCAACACCACACAGTCCTGATGTAACACTTCAGTGGCCCACTCTTTATTCCTCTTTCACTGGCTGTGTATGCTCTGCTGTGAAATCACCACGGCCCCACACACATGTGGCCCCAAGCACTATTTCTGCATAATAAACATAGTCACAAATTGAATCTAATTCTAAAAATGTAAAAATAATACATTGTATTTTTTACAAGCAGCATCCTTTATAAACATATAACTACAATTTTTGGCAAACATAGCATAAGCAAGATCTTTTTACAAGAGCATTTAATACTTGTTTTCATTTCCTGACCTGAGAGAGCTCCTAAAAATGTCCTGAAACCTTCATCTTTTTAAGTTATTCTTGTTATTCTTCTTCCAATTAAATTTTGTCTTTTTCTCTTCTTTGTGGTTGGCCTCTTTGTTCTTGGCTGCGTGGATCAGCAGAACTGTCGACCTATTGTGTGATTCAGAGAACATCTTCCAAGTCCCCAGCGCTGTTTGGAGTGGACCCTGGCATTCCTGTGGAACTACAGAGTAGGACGTGCAGAGGATGCTGCACTGGAGTGAAAGTGAAAAGGAAATTCAAGCCTGCAGGTTATGTCAGTCCTGATGGAGAATGTAAGGTCACTGTCAAATAAGATGAATGAACTCAGAGGGAGAGCGCTGTCAGGAAGACCTGCTGCAGTGTACCGGTGTTATTCAATCTGGGCTTAATGACTTCAGACCAGCTTTGAAATCTCATGCAATGCAAAGTGTTTGAGCGACTTTTACATCAATATGGTTTTTAATGTTTTTATTTGAATGATTCATCATTGTCTCATAATGATTAAAATAAAACTGCCTATTCCAAACAACAACAGACAATTCCAAATGTTTTTTGCTTAACATTGTTAATTTGCTTAACATTGATTACATTGATTACAATGAAACATTGATTACAGAAAATAAAATAACAAACTAAAGTTAGTGTCTAAAGACAGTGTTTTTTGTGTTTATTACACTAACACGGGTGATTTAGCCTGCTACAATTCTCCATTGAAATTTTCAAAATTAAAAGAGTGAAATAGAAAATTTGAGTTAATAGCCTAGAATAATGTACTGAGAAAAAAATGCTTATTGCTGTGTTTTGAAAGGGAGAGGATTATGCAAAAAACTCACATTTGTCACCTTAGGGTCCCCATTTTTAACCCAAGACTAATATCTGTTCTACTTTTTTTGTGTGCGCATGGAGGGTTGTTTTTTAAATTTGGACTTTGCACAGCAAAATTCTGCTAAAAATCAGTTAAAAAGAAGCTAGTAACTAGAAGCAGTATTTTTCAGGTGTAACCTACTTTTTATACAGTACTTGCATTTGTAATTGAATACAATTTTAGCCGTGTCACTGTACTTTTTCTTGAGAACAAGTTTGCAGTACTCTTTCCACCACTGATAAACTAAACTGACTCTCTGTTGTCCAAAATATTGATAAAACAATAATGAAGTTAAATGAGGAGAAGTGTTGATTCATTTCTTTAACAATAAATACTCTTTGGCTTTGACTTGTTCACACAGAGGAAGGTTGTGGACAGCTCCAGGAGCTGCTTTTCTTCAGACTGTGACCCACGGACATTTGTTTACATAAACATTACATTTCACTTACATATGTAGCTGAAAGAGATGAGAGAAGGATGAAGGAGGCAAGATGTTATTCAGGAGGACAGGAGGGCTGTTCCTTTATTGAGTGAGTGCACACCACAACTCAAGCACATATTGACTGGTTTACACATTCATACAGAATCATTCCACAGTAAAGTGCACAGCCCAAAAGCAGAAGGCTGAAGCAATGTGTGTCTGGCCCCATACAGTTTCATGTTTCCCGCTCTGCAGATTCCATCTAATACATTCTTACTAATCCTTGTGCTTAACAACTACAATATTTGATACTAGTTGTTTTGCTCTGTTCCTCCGTATTTCTCACACCACTGTTCTTTGTTGAAAACAGTGGTCAGAAAAAGCGTCAAACTCTTCACAGATCACATTTAATGGCAGCTGGTGTTTGGAAGAGCTCAGCTCAGGGTTTGCTCCACATTGATAGACTTCAAACGGCACAAACTTGTAGAGTAATAACTGGAATCATTTATTCTGAACCTAATCTGTGGTGAGAACAAACATGAAACGTTTCTGTGTGTACATGTACATTATGTGTACACACAATTCTACCAACGGAATGGATGGAGGAAGTGTAAATGACACACTTTTTTCTATTTATTGATCACGTTTAACTAGAGGTAGAAGGTTGGCTGACATTAGACTAATAATTTGACTTTTTAGCCTATTGGCCTTAAATATCCACCTTAGGCTGATATTTTGCATTGGTCAATCTGCCCCTTAAAAATACACACAAAACTTTATATCAACACTTCAATACAAAAATAGAACTGCACAAAATATGACTACACATCTCTCTTAAAGGTATTTGATAAAAAGAGCTGTGGGTGAGATTGTTTTCAATTCAAATTACATAATTTGATGAAAATAATCAAAATGGGTCTTACCATGAAAAAAAAACACCATATCGATCGATCTTTAGCATTAATGCAAAATCCTTTCAAAGGTGTTAGTATGTATTTTTTACAAAAAATAATAAATAATAAAAAAAAAACATAATAAATAAATAATCACATGTTAATTTTGGTCATCTCCACTCCAATTTCAGATGAATTTGAGAAGATGGGCGAACGGTTCATACAAAAAGTGCGTGTGTGCGTGCATGTGTGTGTGGGCTTGCGGAAAACGAGAGGTGTGTGCATGTGTGTGTATGGGCGTGAGGAGAATGAGAGTAACAGTGTAACAGTCATCCAAAAGTGCAATAACTTCTACAAGCATAACCATTGTTTCCTTAGTCGCTCTTACAGAATAAAAGTGTGATATTGCTGTTGAACATTTGACAGTCCAGCAGTGTTCACATGAATGGATGGTGATGACGATAGTGAATAAGACAGATCTTAATGTCACTGCTTCAGTCATTTGTAGACAGTATAGTATAGTAAATAAAGGCATTAGTAAAATAAGCAATAAAAAATAGAAAAATGCAAAATATGTAACATTAAAAACTGGCATATTAAATGTGATTACAGTGGTCCCTCGTTTATCGCGGAGGTTACATTCTAAAAATAACCCGCAATAGGTGAAATCCGCGAAGTAGTCAACTTTATATTTTACCATTATTATATCTGTTTTGTAAAACCCCTCACCACACACTTTATACACTTTTCTCACACAGGACAGTTACAACCCTTTTTACATCCTTCTTAAAACTTATTGCTGCTGTCGTCCTTTTGTTATTTTCCTCCTTCTTTATGTAACGAACTGAAGATTCATTTATTCCGTAATGGAGCCCTACAGCGCAGAGTCCTGCACGGGTCCATTTTTGGAGATTCACACCCGCACAGTACAGGACCCATACAGCACCGTACTTGCCCGTTAACCCGAGATTATATCAAACCTTTGGGCTGCCTACGTCAAGTACTGAACCAAGACTAAACCAGGACTAACCCAGGACTAACCTCGGACTGATTCCAGGCCTGAACTAGGAGGATTAAACCAGGACTGAACTTGGAGTAAACAGGACTAAACTAGAAAAGCACTCAGAGAGCGCAGACCTCCGCCAAGGACTACCCCCATTTTTTATATAAATTGTGATAAAATCAGTCTTCTGGATCATTGGATCATCATCCCATTGTCCATCCCTGAGTCAAATTTCATGGGGTTTGGTCAATAATTAACCGAGATATTGAGAAACAAAATTTTTGGCCCCATTTACCACAATGTTAACTAAAATTTCAAAGTGATCCAGAATCCAGGATTTCTTCCGGATCACCCCCAAAATGAAATCAATTCTTCCTTTTCACATTTCCAACAAATCCTGAAAATTTCATCAAAATCGGTCCATAACTTTTTGAGTTATGTTGCTAACAGACAAACAAACAAACAAACAGACAAACAAACAGACAAACGCCGGCAAAAACATAACTTCCTTGGCCGAGGTAATAACCAGGACTGAACTTGAACTAAAACAGGACTAAACCAGGGCTGAACCAGGACTCACTGTCGGGACGGGCTCAGAGGTGACCGCAGGAGAAAGGACCGACGGAGAGCTCCACACCTCACGGTAAGTGCGGCAGTTGCCCGATCGCGCTGCACTTCAGAATCACACTGCTATTGATTGAACATTTATGTAAATTTGACAATGGTCTACAGTCCCTCAGCCAATCAGGACGCAGGGGGAGGAACACATGGAGGGAGGAACTGCACTTGCACATCTTCAAGGCACAGACTAAAACCTGTGGAGAAACAGAGATCAGAAATCATTCAATTCAACATATTCTGTCCATACTTTCAAACACACCCCATCAAAAACTAAACCAGGACTAAACCAGGACAAATGCCTGAGCCTCAGATACACAAATGCAGATACAACACACACAAACACAGCAGAGAAAAACAGCACACATGGAGGAGAAAGTGTGTACAAAGTGTAAAGGCTTCAAAGGATTCAAGTGCAGTGAGCTCCAGTCCTCAGTGACATCTTTAAAATACACTTCACTGCAGCCACGTAAACATTTGGTATAACTTCATTTACAGATTTTACCCCAAATGTTTCAGCAGATTTTTAAAACATTCAAAATTGACATATGGAAAAAAGCTCACACAGAATACCAGAAACAGAGTTCACTTTTCCTAAATTAAATTTGATCACAGCAAAATGCAATTTAACATTCAAAACTGATAAACTGTCCCTCAAAAAAACATTTTTATCATCAAAAGCATTGTCAAAAGTATAAAGAATCAGAAGACTAGTATGGAAACTAGATACTCATTTAGCCAGAACAAGTGTGAGACCACACAGACAAGTCTAAACCCATGGACCTATGGAACCTACCCAGACAAGTGAGGGATCACACATAGACAAGGCCACATGGTAATATAAAAGAAGAGAACTATTATTCGATATTGAAAATCATGTTCTATTGTCTAAAAAGTGTTTTTACTATGATTGTGGTATCAGAACCGCTATTGACTATAGTCTGTTCCTTAGTATTTAAATCAAGTTTAAAATGTTTGTATCGTGACAACAATAATGCTCTTTTATTCATGTAACAGTTTCAGTTCTAATCACTGTATTTTTGTACTAGAAGTCACACTTTTTTCATGGTTTGGGTGTTTCCTGCGATTTATACTCCAGTGCAACTTATATATTAAAATTTTCAGAGTGACAGCCATGAGAGGGCGCTCTAGGCTTGTGTGTCAGTTTTCTGTCCATGTCTCCTGCAGAAATAGCCGCTGTTCTGCTGCAAGTAGTGAAATATGCAGCGGAAAATGGTAATGGAGAAGCAGAAAGAATGTTTAGAGTGAGTGAGAAACTTGTGCGGGACTGGAGAAAAAGGGGAATGGAGAACACAGCTTCACAGTAACCGGGAGGGTGCAGCATGCCTGGACTTCAGTGACAACCAAAGTTGCGCAGAGTTGCTCAGAAGTGACACCGAGGATGAAGAATTCAGTTGGAGTGAGATGGAGAGTTTGGTAAACTTATATTATGTTGTTCATGCTATAGTTATCTGAATAACTGTTCATATGTGACATTAACATATCAAACGCCTATTCAGCCTGTTGTTCTTTATTCTGTTGTTATTACCAGAACTTGCCTTTCAAGATGAAATATCAGTTCCTGGTCCCTGATTTCATAAAATAAATTTCCCCCTAAAGTGTGACTTATAGTCTGGTGTGACTTTTTCTTCTTCATTATGCATTTTTTGGCCTGTGCGACTTATACTCCAGAGTGACTTATAGTCTGAAAAATACAGTAAATTTGTTCAGTCTCTTACCTGACGTGTTCCAAAAGAATTTCTTTTTCGGCTTAACTCTTATTTGTTCCAATTCAACCTTTTGTCAATTTTTCTTGTTCCGTTTGTAACGTCATCAATTCTTCGCATTGCTCAAAACTTAGCCCATCATATAATATAGAAATAATATAATAAAATGTCTTAAATTTTTTCCTTGCGTATATTATTGCCCACTATGGCCCACTTGCCATAGTGTTTAGCTGTTTGCAGTAAGTGTTTCTTTTGGTAACTCTCCAAAAAAAAAAACTTTCTGAAGGAGCAAAGAAAAAACTGCACAATGAAAGCCTTAAATACCACCAAAAAAGTTTTGGTTGCATATGTCAGTTTGAATGTTAAATTGCTTTTAGTTGTGATCATCATTTGTTTAGGAAAATCTAACTCTGTTCTGTGTGAGGTGTTTAGTAGATGTCAGTGTTCAATAGAAAAGTGAGTCAAAGTGAATGAAAAAAATTGTAAGGAGCCGCTCCATGAGTCAGTTTGAGAACAGAAGGGAATGTGTGCGATTACTTTAGCCCCATAAAGTCACTACTCACTCCAGTGTCTTCAGTCGACAGTGAGGAGTCTGTTTAAACTCCAGGAGCTCCTTCATATGTGATTCTCTCAGTCTGTTACCACCAAGATCCAGGAGTGTGAGGTGTGAGGGGTTGGACTCTAGAGCTGAAGCCAGAGAGGAACAGCTCATCTCTGCCAAACCACATTCCACCAATCTGAATAAAGGAAAAATGATGTGTTAAAGTCTATACAAATATAGATTGTGTTTATAGAGACTTTCTGAATGATCAAATAAATAAATAAATCAAAATTTAGTTATACTAAAAAATATTAAAAGAATGATAACCATGCTGCTGTCTATTTTCTTCTGAGCCTTTGTCTTACATATAAGAAAAAAAAATGTTCAGTGTCTCAGGAAAAAAAAAAAAAAAAAAATTACATAAGATCAATAAAAAAGGATATTTTAAACAGAAATGTCAGGCTTCTGAAAAGTATGTTCATTTTGTAACTGTCAGTATTACGTTTATATTACTATTGATACTGTAATACCTGATTGCGCCATCTGGTAGCGCACTTTTATTTTTATTATACTGTAAGGTCACAGGTCACTCGCTTGTTGCAGTGCTGTGTAATGGACACACAACTCAAGTAATGTGCGGTACCGGTATTAAACGGACTAATTTCTATTTCATGTATGATTCAGACTTAGTGCTGTGGAGACCTGCCATCGTATGGTTTCCAAATGTGTAATAAACCAAGTATCAGTGGAAATCAGTAAGTCTCGCTCTTCTCTCAGCTATCCCAGAGCACATGTTAAGGGCTATAGCGAGCGCTCTCCGCCGGACCACTACCCCACGTTACAATTTGTATGCACTTGGCTGGGCCTCCTTTGGCATGAATTAGTGCATCAATGGTCTGTGATGTTCACTGCTCGGGTGGAATGGAAGTCCAGGATGACTTGGCAGTGGCCTTCAGATCATATTCAGATTTTTTTTTAGATGTGCTAGTATTTGTTATTTGTGAATTTCACTGATTGTGTTACACATAATATGCTTAATACAACATAAATACTAAAATGTATAACATCAAGTTGAATGTGTGAGTTGACAAACCCTCCAACTTAGTAAAGAATTAGCATTTATTTGATTTAATTCATTTGGAGGGTGTTTTTGTCATTTTTTTTCATTGCAGTTTAGTTTATGTGGTAAAAGTTTATAGGGCCTTGAAATCTCCAGCCTGATTTGTGTTCATTAATTACAGAATTTATTCCTTATAACATTAAGGAATATTTATAAAATATTGAACAAATTTTTTTTTATTGAAAATATTTTGAAACTCAAATGTTCATAAAAGTATAACATTACAATGTAAGTTTTCAGATATACTTTAACTGGACAAAATAGTAAATAACCCTTATTACAATATATATTAACAGTTAAAACTTTAGTAGGATTGTAATAAATCTAATCTGCATGTGTTTTTGTATGTCTGACCTGTGTCTGTTTATCTTGGCATTTCTGTACAGCTCAGACCTTATTCTACAAAGATATAAAACTCCCATAAAAACTGGTTCCATTGTACTTTCCTCTAAAATGTCTAAAGCAGGGGTGGGCAAACTACGGCCCGGGGGTATGCGGCCCTTTCAACCTTTTAATCCGGCCCGCTGAACTGGAATAAATTACAATTATATATATATATAAAAATAAAAAAAATGTGTTTCTCACCTTCCACGGTGGTAGGTCTCTCTCACCCTCATTCAGCTCGGGTCCTCTACCAGAGGCCTGGGAGCTTGAGAGTTCTGCGCAGTATCTTTGCTGTTCCCAGTACTGCACTTTTCTGGACTGAGATGTCCATTATATATATATATATATATATATAATATATATATATATATATATATATATATATATATATATATATATATATATATATATATATATATTATATATGGTATATATATATATATGGTGTTCAAGATATAACCTTGCACTGCTTCCAATTTGAGTTGGTAAAAATCAAAGACAAGAACTTTGCAGATGTTGTATTTTATGTCTTGACGTATAGTACGTCTTAAGAGTCTTGCTATGTTGCACGTGGGTTATGTATCTTATTACAACTTAATCGCTCATAACACACTTTCACGTGCGATATGTAGTGGAGCAAATCTGTAAATTTGTGTGTATTCTGAATTTTTCGCGGCAATGTCGTGGTGCGTTTTCTACTTAAGCGTAAATATGAATATAATGAGGTGAGCTCTTAACACATCATGCTACTGTATACTGTCCGGCCCTTCAGGCAAATTTTAGGACCCTATGTGGCCCGCGAGCCAAAAAGTTTGCCCACCCCTGGTCTAAAGGGTAAATTCACAAATATTGAGCATGATCATTTCTACTAGTGACCAGACCCAAGAACTCACTGTGTATTAAAAACACTGGCCTATAGAATGTTGTGGGGTTATCCGAAATCCAGCAACAGACTTCAAGAGTAAATCATGTGGAACACGACCACAAATTGCATGCTGTTTTCAGTTTAAACTCGCAGCTTTGTGCCTGGATTGATAACTGAGGTGAGAAAGTGATGCTTTTAAAGTTTTAAAGTTTTAATATTATTACTGGTTACCTCTGACTCCAAATACAGAGAAACTTTTGTAAAAGCTCTGAAACACGACACAAGTAAGAGACAATGAACTGACCTGAGAGTCTCCAGTCGACAGTCTGGACTCTGCAGAAAACCACACAGATGAAACACTCCTGAATCATACAGTTTGTTACGACTCAGATCCAAAAGCGTGAGATGTGAGGGGTTGGACTTCAGAGCTGAGACCAGGGAGGAACAGCTCAGCTCTGATAAACCACAGTTCCACAATCTGAATAAAGAAAACATAATGTGGTTAACGTACATAGTAAATTCTATTATCCTTGTACAAACAGGGCTATTTGTTTCGACTCCTGCACCTTCAGGACTGTTCTATCACATCTCATATATCTATATCTATATCTATGTATATATAAATGCTTCTCAATATCTTGTGTGGCCCCCACATGCTTGCATGCAGGGTTGACAACGCTGTGGCATGCTCCTAATGAGACGGCGGATGGTGTCTTGTGGGATGTCCTCCCAGAGAGTCTGTAGAGTCTGAGGAGCAACCTAGCGGCATCTAATGAACCCAAACATCATGTCCTAGAGGTATTCTATCAGGTTTAAGTCAGGTCTGTGCGTCCCTCCATGGATATGCCTCCTCAGACCATCACTGACCCATCACCAAATCGCTCATGCTGAACCATGTTGCAGGCAGCAGAGCGTTCTCCTTGTCTTCTCCAGACTCTTTCACATCTATCACAGGTGCTCAGGGTGAACCTGCTCTCATCTGTGAAAACACAGAGCATAAGTGGTGGACTTGCCAATTCTGGTGTCTAGCAAATGCAGATCGAGCTCCACGGTGCTGGACGGTGAGCACAGGGCCCACTTCAGGATATGATGCTCTCAAGCCACCCTCATGAAGTCTGTTTCTGATTGTTTGGGCAGAGACATTCACACCAGTGGCCTGCTGGAGGTCATTCTGTAGAGCGTGGGCAGTACCTGTCCCTCCTTGAACAAAGGAGTAGAGATCCTGCTGATGGGTTGAGGACATTCTACAGCCCTGTCCAGCTCTCCTAGAGTAAGTGCCTGTCTCCTGAAATCTCCTTCATGTTCTTGAGATTGTGCTGGGAGAAATACTGAATCTCCTTGCAACTTTTTTTAGTGTTCACGTTGAGATCTGAGATGATTCAAAAAGTTCCTTGTTGTGATAGTGAGCCACACATTAAGTATTTACTTGTACTTGAGGAATATGTTTTTATGAAAGTCACAGTACTCTTTCTTAGGTTTAAATTTTGAAACTTCTTTTCTTCCTCCTGTTTGAGTTCGACAACTGACTAAAGTTTTATGTTGATAATATTTCTTCCACTGTACCTTCAGATATGATTAAGTGTTTGTAATATGTATGGTCTGTTTTCAAAATACCAGAATAAGCTTTTTTTTTGTTTGTTAATGTTGTGTTCCAATTAATTTAACTTCAAAGTATAACTAAATAATACATCTAAATTTGTATCCAGACAATTCCTCTGTTACACTTACTGAAAAGCAGTAGTTTCCTCAGATATCTTCACTCTTACTCGACTCATTTTTGAACCACTAGTTTTTACTTGGTTTACTTGAGTAATGTCATTTAGAGGTAATGGTACTTTTACTTCAGTACAGTCAATGGCTTCTCTACCACCTCTGAGTCCAAGTCCAGAGTAAATACTAGAGTTTATTATGGCTGAGCTCTTTAGTGAAAGCTCTGGAACATGACACAAGTAAGAGACAGTGAACTTACATGAGAGTCTCCAGTTGACAATCTGGACTCTGCAGAAAACCACACAGATGAGACACTCCTGAATCAGACAGTCTGTTATCACCCAGGTGCAGGTGTGTGAGGTGTGAGGGGTTGGACTTCAGAGCTGAGGCCAGAGAGGAACAACTCATCTGTGAAAAACCACAGCTCCTCAATCTGAATAAAGAAAACATGATGTTATTAACGTCCATAGAAATATAGATTATGCTCATAGAGACATTCTGACAAATAAAATAAAGACATTATCGGGGTAAATGCCTTTTTTTTTTTTTTTTTTCCAAAAGTGGTTACAAAAGGACCTGCAGTGGCCTATTGTGATCAACAGAACACACTGCAGCCGGCCACAATTGAGACTTTCTTTGGCCACTGAACCCCTGGCTATGGCCATAGACAAAATCCAAATGTTTATAGCGTCACGATTGGGGATGAAGAGCATAAGCTACTGCTGTATATAGAAGACAGCCTTTTGACATTGACTGATCCATCTATTTTCTACCAGTCCTGATTGACACTTCAAGGCATAATTTATTGGAATCGCCTATAACCCAGCTAGAGATGTTCATGAAATCCGTCACTTGTCCAGGAGATTCCACCTCTGACTCCAAGTTCAGAGTAAACACTAGAGCTTATTATGACCGAGCTCTTTTGTGAAAGCTCTGACACAAGTAAGACACAGTGAACTGACCTGAGAGTCTCCAATCGACAGTCTGGACTCTGCAGAAAACCACACAGATGAGACATTGCTGAATCGGTCATTCTGTAGTTCTCACATAGGTTCAGGTGTTTGAGATGTGAGGGGTTGGACTTCAGAGCTGAGGCCAAATAGGAACAGCTCATCTCTGCCAAACCACAGCCCTCCAATCTAAATAAAGAATACATGATGTGTTTATACATCTTATATGACACATTTTTAAAACACCAAGTCCCCACAACTTCAACTGTTTCCTCAAAAACATGATTTTAGTTCAAACCTTGGACACATTTGAGAAAAGAATATATGATGTGGTTAACGCCCATAGAAATATAGATTATGCTCATAGAGACATTCTGAATAATAGAATAAAGATATTATAAGATATTCATAATAATAAAAACATAATTTTAAAAACACATTATGTGTTTAATGCCTAATAAATCCACAACACATTTCTTTTCATATAATAGTTGTGTTATCAGAGTTTAGCTTTAATTTGTTGCAAATATTGATGTTGAAGTCCAAACTTCAGATATGATTAGATGTTTGTAATATGGTATTATGGGATGAGTTTTATGTTTTGTTCAAATTACATTAATGTTAAATTATACATATAAATATATATCCAGACAATTCCTCTGTTACACTTACTGAAGAGCAGGAGTTTCCTCAAATATGTTCACACTTGAGTCATTTTTGAACCACTACTTTTTTTTTTTTTACTTCTACTTGAGTAATGTTAAATAAAAGTGACTTTGGGTACAAATACTGGCTCCTCTCACACCTCTGAGTCCAAGTTCAGAGTAAACACTAGGGTTTATTATGGCTGAGCTCTTTAGTGAAAGCTCTGAAACATGACACAAATAAGAGACAGTGAACTGACCTGAGAGTCTCCAGTCGACAGTCTGGACTCTGCAGAAAATCACACAGATGAGCCACTCCTGAATCAGACAGCATGTAGTTCTGACCAAGGTCCAGAAGCGTGAGGTGTGAGGGGTTGGACCTCAGAGCTGAGGCCAGAGAGGAACAGCTCATCTCTGACAAACCACAGCGCTCCAATCTGAATAAAAAAATACATACTGTGGTTATCCTCTAATATGATTTTTTTTTTTCTTCATTTGTTTTAACACAGTGTTTATTATTCACTGCACCAAGTTGTATAGCACATAGCGCTGTGGTTGTCATTCATTAACCTATAGTAAACTGCCGCCAGTGGAGAGTTGAGGCTAGGCAGGAGATATCTCGCAGGCTGAATCACAAAAGGTTAGGTGTTTAATAAACGTTTATGAAGACCAATCAGCTGATTTGAGTGCACCCTGACCTACACCCCAAAGATGTCAGGATTGCAATGTAAAGCAATGGGTAGAAGCTCCGGATTTGACTTCAAATTTTCTCAAAACATCAGGCTCTCCCATAATTCACTCTGACCCACTGCACTCAAAGGGCAAACACATGAATCAAATATGTAAGTGAAAAGGTTGTGTGGGCAGAGGTATGTAGAACTACTCAGCTACTGGTGGTCTACAGTCACGTTGATCCTTCTTATACCCGGATCTGCAGCCATTCAGTGCCACATTGTTCCATCAGTCAATGGTGATTTTTGCAGTGGGCCTCTTTGAGATTTTGTTCTATTTTTGAAACCCTGTAACTTACCTTGTTGAGTTGACTGCTCCTGTCTCTGCCTGCCATTTACCTGTGAGAAACTGCTCCAGACCTGCCTGGAATACCAATAAAACTACCTGTGCTACCAGTTTTCTGTCTACTTTTGTGTCCATCACATATTTTCTCTGTTTGATGGCAAGTAACACGTCTTTTCATGAAGATACCAGCTTCATACTTTGCACACTTACTCACAAATGGGGATAGAAACAACAATCGTGGCAAGAAGGTGAACATATTTCTTATTATAGTTTTTTATTTTTTTTATTTTATGGTCTGTTTTGGAAATACATGAAAACACACTTTTAATGTTAGCTTCCTCAAATATTCTTCTACATGACTAATGTTAAAGCAACAGTACTTTTACATGAGTACAGTCATTGTCCAGAGTAAATACTAGAACTTATTATGGCCGAGCTCTTTAGTGAAAGCTCTGAAACATGACACAAGTAAGAGACAGTGAACTGACCTGAGAGTCTCCAGTCGACAGTCTGGACTCTGCAGAAAACCACACAGATGAGACACTCCTGAATCACACAGGTCTCTGTTATCACTGAGGTCCAGTTCTGTGAGATGTGAGGGGTTGGACCTCAGAGCTGAGACCAGAGAGGAACAGCTCATCTCTGACAAACCACAGCCCTTCAATCTGAATAAAGAAAACATGATGTGGTTATACATGTTATATGACACTTTTTCTCCATTGTTAACACACTATTTGTCATTCACTGCACCAAGTCGCCACAGCTTCAACTCATTTCTCCAAAACATGACTTTAGAATAAACACTTTTTAATGTTTTTGTTTGTTTGTTTGTTTGTTTGTTTAGATTAACTTCAAATTATAAATCTACAGTTATATCCAGATAATTCCTCTGTTACACTTACTGAAGAGCATTAGTTTCCTCATATATGTTCACTCTTACTCAAGTCATTTTTGGACCACTTCTTTTTTTTACTTTTGCTTGAGTATTGTTATATAAAAGTAAGAGTGTTATAAGTAAGTTAAAGCAAAAACAATGGGATTTAGTTAGCTTTTTGACTATTACTTCCACCACATGTAAAGGTAGAAAAAAAATTGATGCAAGAATCTCGGACTTCCGGTCATTGCGCAATGTATACTGGGAAGGATTTTCTGAAAAAGTGAGCATCAAACCTCCATGTTTGTTTTCCCAGTGGGATTCATCTATTGACAAAGTCAGTCTTTTCTAGTCTTTTGAGCCATATCACTTTTTTTTTTGTTTGTTTCTGGTTTTGATTGTCATTTTTTAAGCGCTTTGAGTGCCTTGAAGGTGGAAAAGCGCTATAGAAAAATGTGACCATTTTAGTTTTGAGATTTGGACATCGTAATTGTGTGGTTGTTGGATGTCCTAACACCAGAAAACGGCTCGAGAAATTTGTTTCCGAACTCCACAAATGCAAAAGGGAATCAGATCTGTGTGACTGCAAACCTCTGTTCAAACTGTTTCCCTTTCCAATGGAATTGAAAAATAGTGAAAGGCGAAGGCGATGGGCAGGAGTGATACACAGGAAAGACAAAAAAGGAAACCTTTGACTGCCTAAATCATCCCGAGTTTGCAGCAAACATTTTGTATTTAGACAACTGGGAAACTGCATACTGGGAAAATCCTTCCCAGTATGCACTGCACAATGACCGGAAGTCTGAGATTCTTGATGCATCTATAGACCCAGGGCATCCTTCGTACGGCTCTGTCCCCTGAAGAATCAGTCTGTTTGGCAGCAAAACACTGGTTTCAAAAAGCTAAGTAAGTCCAGTTGTTTTTGTTTTAACTCGCTTATAATACCGTATTCCTAGATGTCTCAAAATTTGCGTCAGTTAAAAGTAACAGTACTTTTACTTGAGTGCAGTTATAGCTACACTACCACCTTTGACTCCAAGTTGTGAAAGCTCTGAAACATGACAGAAGTAAGAGACAGTGAACTGACCTGAGAGTCTCCACTCGACAGTCAGGACTCTGCAGAAAACCACATAGATGAGACACTCCTGAATCAGACAGGTCTTGGTTATCACTCAGATCCAGTTCTGTGAGGTGTGAGGGGTTGGACCTGAGAGCTGAGGCCAGAAAGGAACAGCTCATCTCTGACAAACGACATTCCCTCAACCTGACGAAAGAATACATGATGTGGTTATACATCTTATGACACTTTTTCTCCATTGTTAAAACACTATTTGTCATTCACTGCATAAAGTCCCCACAGCTTCAACTCATTTTTCCAAAACATGACTTTAGTTCAAAACTTGAACACATCTGAATAAAGAATACATGATGTGGTCCACGTCCGTAGTCAAAATTAAAGATCTTGGGAAACTAAGACTTTTCCTTGGCAATGATTTTGCCCTGACAAAGGGGGAAATCAAAATTAAACCAAAAAGATACATTACAAAAATTCTTGACAGATTTGACATGAGTCGCTGCAAACCAAGGTCAATACCATGTGAAATGAAAATGAAATTTGACACTGAGGGCGACTGCAATAGTTTTGGGTGTGTTTAACTGTAAACAAAGTGCTGTAGCCAATTTGTGATTTGTAGATGCTGTTGGCATGAACACTGAGCACAGTGTCATCGGTGTAGCCCAGGTATTTTTTCTGCCCCGGTCTGTTAGTACATTACATTTTCACCCAAGGCAAAGATCTCAACTACTGCGAGACTTTGTGCTCGCATCGTGAGATTTTGTGCGTCAATCTCTTTTAAACATGGCCTGGAGCTACTACTATTGAGTTGTGTGTTATGTCGGTCCCGAGCGCAACTGAGCTGAAGTAGGCAGGCGTAAAGTTACTGTTCTTTCTCTAAAAGTACTCTAAAGTTTACTGTTATGTTGCAAACCTTTCTAGATACCTCTTGCCTTCTTTACAAAGCACTGTCACTAGCCTGTGTGATTTAGCCAAGTGGAACTGGTGAGTGCTAACTATGTTTGTTGTTGCTCAGAGCTAACGTGCTAATGCTAGAGTTTAATGCATTGTATACTGGAGCTGCGCTCGTTTTCATGCATATATGTGATGCTGTTAAAGGCACTGTATGTATTCTGACCAGTGCAGTGCACTTGATTGCCTTTTTTCTAAAGCGATACTGACAATGAATTATGATTAGGATGAAATGATCTGCTAACTCTGTGTAAGCTAATTTAAAACGAATTGTTACCTGTTGTTAATGGGAAATATTTTACTATGGAGTCCTCTTGATGACAACTATTTATGCATGTACATGTATGATTATTATTATGACTATTATTATAACAAATGTTATGATATAGTGAAATCCTATTTATACTTACTCATGATACTTAATTATTGTATTACTTAATGCTGATCCTGTTTTGCACAGGCCAGGTTCTAGAAACTGGACATGAGGATTTGAGGGTAAGCTTCAGCTCGCAGATTTAATATTAAATTATTGTATAACGACGCTTGTGGGCAATAGCAGAGAAAGACTTCTATGAAATGGTTTTAGGAGCAGCCTTTGGAAACGGCTGTTTGTAAAATGTTCTATATAAATATTCTGTGAAAGGTGCACATTGGTGGACTAGAATAATGCTTTGGTGATTCTATTTAAATTATATTTATCCCACAAAACATTTAACAGTGTGTTTAATAGTGTGCTTTGTGCTTAAACAGACGAGACTGACCTGAGAGTGGAGAGTTCACAGTGAGGACTCTTCAGTCCAGCACACAGCACAGACACTCCTGAGTCTCTCAGGATATAATTTTCACTCAGATCGAGTTCTTTTAGATGGGAGGGGCTGGACTTCAGTGCTGAGGCCACCAGTTCACAGTGAGTCTCTGAGAGTCCACAGTGAACAAGCCTGTAAGCAGATGTTTAATTTAAATGTGTTTGTTTAGTTGTAACACAGGTCTGTGAAGCTGCTGTTGATGAATGAGTACTGACCGAGCCTTCCTGCAGTTCCTCACCGCTGGGATCAGTCTCTGTTGACCTCCATCAGATGTCTTGTACTTCTCTAGGTCCAGTTCTTCCATGACCTCCTCTGACATCTGCAGCATGTAGGCCAGAGCTGAGCACTGGAACTCAGACAGTTCCTTCTGTGATCCTCCTCTAGATTTCAGGAGGTCCTGGATCTGCTGCAGGAGCGACTGGTCTTTCATTTCCATCAAACAGTGGAAGATGCTGATGCTTTGGTCTGGAGAGACTTCCTTTGAGCTCATCTCTTTCAGGTTTTGAATGACTTTGGGGATTTCTGATTGGTTTACTGGACTCAGCAGACCTCCTAAAAGTCTCTGGTTGGAGTCCAGACTGAGGCCATGAAGGAAGCGCACAAACAGATCCAGGCGGCCATTTGAACTTCCCAGGGATTTGGCAAGAGATTGTTTGAGAAACTCACTTGGACTTAATTTTTCAGTTGTTTTGCCACCAAGAAAACGCTGAATGACATCTGTATCACTTTGTAAACAGTGGAGCAGGTAAACTGCTGCCATAAACTCCTGGACGCTCAGGTGTACGAAGCAGTAGACTGATTTGTTGAAGAGGACACTCTCTCGTTTGAAGATCTCTGTACAGAGTCCTGAATAAACCGAGGCCTCAGTCACATCCAGACCCACCTGCTCCAGGTCTTCCTCGTAGAACATGATGTTTCCTTTCTGCAGATGTTCAAAGCCCAGTCTGCCCAGCTTCAGGAGGATGTCTGCTTCTGTTTCTGTCAACACCAGTGATGTGTCTAGCCTCTGCTCCTGTGTCAGTTCTGTCTGTGTTGGTGGCATTAGTCTTATTCTCTTTGCCTCTGGACCAGTCTCAGGGTTTGGTTGGTTGTCCTCTGGTCTGGTATGAGAGCTGGGTTGATACTTCCTCTTCCTGTTGGTCTGCACTAACAGGAAGTGGGCGTACATGTCGCTGAGTGTCTGGGGCAGCGCTCCGCTCTGATTGGTTCTCAACATGTGGTCCAGGACTGTGGCTGTGATCCAGCAGAAGACTGGGATCTGGCACATGTTGTGGAGGCTGCGGGAGGTTCTGATATGAGACAGGACTGTGTTACACTGCTCTTCATCTGTGAACCTCTTCCTGAAGTACTGCTCCTTCTGACGGTCAGTGATGAAGCCCCTGACCTCTGTCACCCTGTGCACACACTGCGCTGGGATCTTATTGGCTGCTATTGGTCTGGAGGTGATCCATATAAGGGCAGTAGGAAGCAGAGTGCCTTTGATGAGGTTCACTAACAGCACGCTGACCTCTGACCTCTGTGTGACCTCAGAGATGACCTCACAGTTAAAGTCCAGAGACAGTCTGCTCTCGTCGAGGCCGTCGAAGATGAACAGGAGTTTAGAGACGGACAGAGTGTGTGCTGAGCGTCTGTGGACACAACAAGGACATGGAACAAGAGGAGACATTTCAGTGTGATCAGGTTTAAATATACATGGAAACACACACTCACATACAGAGGCTTTGACTCAGTGTTAAATAACTTCTAAAAATGACTCTCATGATCCACTTGGACACATTTATGATACACACAAGATCCTTAACACAGATGAATAGTGTCATATCACTGAATCTCATTTAAACCCTGTATGTTGACCAAATACTTCTGTGGTGTCATTCAAACTCTGTCCTCTGAACTAGACTGAAGCAGAAGAGCAGATAAAGGTGTGTCACCTGTTTTACCAGAACTGGATGGAACACTTGTATCAGCTCCATCAGGCTGTAGCGTCCCCCTCTGACCAGGTTCAGCTCTCTGAAGGACAGCGGCAGCACCAGGTCCAGATCTTGGTTCTCTGAGCCCTGGGCCCAGTCCAGAGAGAACTTCAGGACTGAGAAGGTCTTCCCCACTCCAGCCACGCCACAGGTCAGCACCACTCTGATGGACCTCTGTTCCTTCTGCTCCTCCTGCTGCTCCTCAGTGGGCAGTGCTTTAAAGATGTCCTGACACCTGATGGAGATTTCCTGGACAGTCTTCTTGGAGAGTTCCTCCAGCCTCCTCTCCTCATGTTGGGCTGTGACTTCTTCACTGAGGCCCTCTGTGATGTACAGCTCAGTGTAGATGCTGTTCAGAGGAATTCTACTCTCTGCTCCTTCAGTTCCCTCTGTCACACTCCCACATCTGCTGCTCAGGCTCAGCTTATGGGCCTGCAGAACCTTCTGGAGCTCTTCATCTGCTGTGACAGGAACACAGATGTGTCAAGTAACCTGTGTTTAGTGTGTCCTCATAAACAGTGTAATATAAACTCACCTTGTGTCGTGCTGTGGACCTGCTTTTCATTTTCCATGTCAGTGTGTTGAGCCCTGAGCCTGGAGTCTTGTAGAGACTTTTCTTTGTGGACAAAAACATTTGCGCCACCAATGGAAACATTTCTATAAATATTACAACCAGATCAAAAAGAAAGTCTATAACAAACTGTCCAAAGTCTAAACTTGGATTAGATCTATAAACAGGACTACACCATCACACACACTTCTCAAGCATCTTTGATTGCCCAAAAAGGGCTACATAAAATGTATTATTAAAGCAGAAACACACAATACAAAAATACCACATGTTTAAAAGATTGTACTTCAAGCATCTTTATTTCTAATCAGCTCTTTTGGCACTAGTTTTATCATGTATTGATTGGTCTGATCTATAAAGCTGGTCCTCTGGCTGAGAACTGGAGACATTTGTCACAGTGAGGGACAGGAGGACACTGGACAAACTGCTCTCCATCATGGACACTCCTGCTCACCCACTGCACCAGACTATAGAGGGACAGAGGAGCTCATTCTCCAACAGGCTCCTACAGCTCCACTAAGACACATACAGGACTACACTCATACCATACTTCATACAGCTCTCCAGCAACTCACCTTCTGCAACAGATAATACTCCCTACAACTGTACATCTCACCCTTACGTCATGGTCTGTATATTTCCAACTTTTGTATATTCACACTTCTGCACTTATTCATGCACCTTATAAGTAAAGTGTATGATAGATAATACTCCATACAAGTGTACAACAACTCCCCCTTCTGTCATGGATAACCTATGTCATCTCAAATCATTATTTTCATAACTGTACTGTATGTCCTAACCCCACCGTTATGTAACTTAGATATATTTTAATTGTATATAAACATTTTTAGACTGGTGCTGCATTGAATTGCTCTGTTGTCTTTTTACAACACTTTAGACACCTTCCCTCTAAATTAACATTAGTGTATGTTATTGGTTATTGGTAATATAGTAGGATTTCTGCTGATATCCGTATCGGTTCAGTATTGAAAAATTGCCAATAGTGAAGAATCATTTGTAAACTTCAGTATAACTTAATATAAAATTGGTCTGTATTGAAGACTTTAAAAGCTTAATATTGATATCGGCAAATATCGATTATCAGTCACAACATCAAGACAAATATTGGATATCAGTAAAAAAAAAAAAAAAAAACACATATCAGACCATCCCTATTCATTTGTCTTTAGATTTGATGTTATTTTAGTGTGACTTTTGTTCTTACAGTGAGTCTGAAGGAGCAGGTTCACAGCTGAAGTCTGGAGGAAAAATCCCTTTAGACCGGTCACTCTTCATGGACACATCACTGGACACTGAGGCTGTGGATCTGTATGTGGAGAGAAAACATCATGTGTTGTTACTTAGAAGACTGTTGCTGTCAGCTTAGATCAGTGTGACAAAGGCACATGTAACGTGGAACTTTGTATTGGATCAATAAGATGAAAATAGCAGCAGCATGTTATGACTTCTTTATTTCTCTACTCCACATAAGTTAAAGTTGTTTGACATGTAGATGCAAATATGTAATCTCTATGTTGTCCAGCAGAGGGTACTCTAGCATTACTTTACTTTTGTGACGGCCTCAAGCCATATCAGCTCACCACATCTTCTGTAAGTGTCTTTCTTGTATAAAGTAAAGATGCTCTGGATTGATATCAAAAACATTAATGCTCTAGATTTTGGTTAATGAATTGAGAAGCACTTCACAGATAAATACGTTGTAAATGTTTAAGCTATGTCCAATATTTTAACAAGTTGAGTCAAGTATTTTATTTTACATATAAATACACTTAATCTTAAATTGTGCTGTGAGCACTTGAAAGTATTGAAACTGAAAGAACATTGCGTTATGATATATTACATGAGTTATGGAACTTATAAATGAGCAGTTCTTTTGTGTTTTATGAGGCCAATAAATTAGGGACTTTTGTTCATATTCAAGAGTACTAGTTTCTAGCCCCAGACCTTCAGACATCACACAACACAACACAGAGACAACACTGGGCTCTTCACCACCACACAGATGCAGTTACATCTTTGGTGCCGTGGCCCAGATGGGTTTTTTTAAGAGGACGAGCAGACACTCCTGTGGACTGTGAACACCATAATGTGTGTGTTTTCAAGTAAAAAAAAAAATAAAAAATCACTTGTATTGTGTGATAAAGAAATACTGCTATTGTGAAAATATACTCTGGGTTGTGACATTGCTGCAATTTTCTTTTTGTTCTTTATATAAGTGCAGTCCAAACAATGTGTTTTAAGCACTCATCCACTACACTGTCAAAGGTAATCGAATACGTAACCTGACCCCACCCCTTTTTTCTAAGCTAGATATATTTAATTTTGTTTGTATGATCAAGTCTATATTATGTCCATATTGTGTTTTGGCTTGTTATGTCGATGTTTCTCCCTGTGTGAGTGTGAGGAACATTACAAGTTGAAAACATGGCATTTCTCTGGAGGACAGTCAGAGTGTTGTGTTAGGAACTGCGTTACTGGGTGATGAAACTGTTTACCAAATGAAGTAAACTGAACTTGAATTTATTCAGGGAGAGCCCCTTGAGATGCAGCATCTCACTTTCAAGGGGGACCATGTTCATGGTTTAGCTTTTCAGAGATCATACGTGTGCAGGTCATATGAGCGCATTTTGTCCGTGTGCAGGTTTAGCGCAGCTCTTTATTTTACAGTCATTTCACTCATGTACGGTCACTTTATTTATGTTGGTAACAGTCCGAGGAATAGTTAGTTAGATTCTAGTAATTAGTTAGATAATTAATAATTAGTTACATTAGTTGTTTCTGGCAAACACCATTAGTAACACCATTTAAGTATGTCAGTGACCTCTTCATCACACATGTGTAATTTAACAGTGAGAGTTTGAGGGAGCTTCTCACAGGTCTCTTCTAGTCACACTATTTTCGAACAGGTGCTGCATTGAACTGCTCACTCTGCTGTCTTCTACAACACTTTATCCTTAAGCATTAAATAACTCACAACTGTAGCGCTCATTTGTCTTTATTATATGACATGTTATTTTAGTGTTCCTTTTGTTCTTACAGTGAGTCTGAAGGAGCAGGTTCAGGACTGAAGTATGGAGGTTCAGCTTTAGAAAAGTCACTCGTCATGGACTCAGCACTGGACACTGAGGCTGTGGATCTGTAAGTGGAGAGAAAACATCATGTGTTGTTATTTAGAAGACTTTGTTCCTGTCAGCTTAGATCAGTGTGACAAAGGCACATGTAACATGGAACTTTTGGATCAATAAGATTAAAAACAGCAGCAGCATGTCATGACTGTGGGCTGCCTCATGTCTTTATGTTTCTCTACTCCACACAAGTGACAGCTGCATCACACATAATCACTTTTTTTTTTTAACTATTAAAATGTGTAAGAAATATATCAAAGTACCATCACATAAAACTTAAAGTCTGGCACACAAACAATGTAGTTTACAAATGTGAGCGTTAAGGGGAGGTCTGAGACTCTTAGTTTTACAGCAGAGAAAATGATTCCACTGTTTATAGAAAGTGCATGTATTTCCTGGTGTAGAAAATCATATTGTTGTATTCAGTTCAACGGGTTCGCTGGAGAAGACTCATAGAGATGAGGGGCTACAAGAGGATGCTTTTTGCTGCAGCCGTGAAGATGCATCAGCTCCTGGAAGGTCATAAAGCCAGTGGACAATTGGTCCAATGTTTGCCCCAGAGTAATCATTATTATGGTAAAAAAAATAATAGTAGGAATGTAAATAGGTAGACAATGACAGAGTAAACTTGTGTAAGCTACACCCAACTATTAATGAGGTGTGGCTAGGACTACACCTTGGACTTGTATTTCTAGTAGACGTAGAGTATTTCTTTGTTGCAACAATGCCTGGCTAGACAAACAGGTTTTTTTCTGAACAACACTGTACACATTGGCTCCAGGGCACAAAAGTGACCCATGGCTTTTTAACAGTGAATGACAAATGAGTGGACTCACTGTGCCTCAGTGCTGCCTCCTGGAGTTTCTTTTCTGATGGGACATCCTTTTATCTGCTCACTCCCTGAAGCCATTTTCCCCCTCGCTCAGCCTGGAGTAGAAACAACAGAGAGACATGTTTCACTCTTTACATATGAACTCTGCTCCATTTGAAACAGGCCAAAGACTAAAGGCTGCCACACACTACAGGAGAATTTGCACGATTTTGTCTGCAATTTGCGTCTCCACAAGTTTGAGGGAGGCGTGACCCGACTTTGTGTCTTCGTGTGCGATTATGAAGCTGCTGCACTCTGCACCACTGCCACCAACAAACATCAGCAACGCTACAATAACAGCCAATAAAACAAAGCATCGGGGCAGAGGAGTGATGGACATTTAGATATAAACTCAGTAAACAGCGAAAATGAAAAAAAAATTTAAACTGCAGCATCTCATCTCATTATCCATAGAATTTGTTCTCTGCAAATAATGACACCCAGTCCACAAAATGGCACTTTTAATCCAGTGTTAAAGTAAAAAGGCGAAAGTAGTTCCTCATCAGGGTGAAGCTGCAGATTAGCGATAGTTACACTTCATGTGGACATTTCACAGAATAATAACAACATAGTTCTGTCTTGGATCTAAACTAGAAGTGCAGTACCTGTGGTCCGCAGACAGATCCCACTGCAGTCTTTGCAATCGGAGACATAAAATCTCATATGATTCTCCTCATGTTTGTGGTGTGCACCTTTGATGTTTGACAGGGTTGGGTTTTGGCTGCGTATGCGCGTGCATGAGATCACATACACCTGCACACTGGAGGAGAAGATATAGACCTGTAGATTATACAGAATTATTATAATTTTTTCTGTCATCTGTCATTTTTCTTACTATTACATAAAAAAATCGATGTATTTAATATTGTTTAAAACAACTACATAGCTGAAAACACATACTTCCCCAAATTTGGGCATTTTAATTAAACAAGCTCATAGTTTGTTTTATTTCATATTAAAGCCTCAATCATTTGCAGTAATGAATTCTGAAGTCATGCCCTACTACAGTTATTTCAAATATCTCTTGTCCATCTCTTGTCATTTCTATGTCCTAAACTAGCATAGGCATTTGTTTGTGTCAAGTCCTGCTTTGTAGTTTATGGCCTATTATTTAGTCCTCCTCAGTCCTTCTGTAAGTACTGTATTAATATTACTGTATTATAGTATATTGTCAACTCCCTCTCTCTCCCTCATTTTCTTTTGTGCTGTCAATCATAGTAGGTACTCGGTTTAATATCTCATTAAAATAAAATATCCAAACATAATATTAGCATCATAACATCATTTCACTTTGTTTATACTATACAATTTATAATTTCTTATATACTCCCCTTGTTGCTTGTATTACCCACTATAGGCCTATGATATTCTGTTTTCTGTGACATACATGGATAATACACTGCCTGTTATCTGGCTCCTTGGTTTGATCCAGACTGCAGTCAGTCAGTAGTCACACTCTTGTGACAAAAAACGAATATCATCATTCAACGAGATTAAATTAAACATAGAGAGAGAGAGAGAGAGAGAGAGAGAGAGAGAGAGAGAGAGAGAGAGAGAGAGAGAGAGAGAGAGAGAGAGAGAGATGTCAAGCTGTTTAACATTTTAAAAATTATTAAATCTGGGGGTGCTGAAATCATTTTTATGGGTGCATTGCTAAAACGGTATAGACCATGGGGGACAACTGCATTTAAACACAAGTTCTACCCAAATCTAATGGTTCAAAAGAGATTATTAGTAGTATTCATGTCCTGCTTCAGTCGCACTCTTCGATAAAGGCTAAAACACCACACAACCACACACACACACACACGCACACACATACATATGTGACACCCCCTCTGAAACTACAGCCATTTTCTACAAGTGGATGTCAATGAATCTCAAAGTTACTTCCACTCAAATAATAATATTGACTTGAAACCCAAAAGTGCGACTTACCTCACCTCAGACGGCGCCTCAAACGCTTTCACTTTCACTGAACTCAGTCACGTGACAAGCCCCTCCCTTCTGTGGATGGTGAAGAGGTCAGTCCAGTGTTTGCGCCAAATATCTCTGCTGTGATCTCTTGGATTCTTTCAAAAACATCATCGTGAGAAATGGAAAGAGTTCAATAAAATAAGATAACGACCATTATTATTGAATATGAGGTTTAATAAAACCCCAATTATTACAACTATTCTTATAAGAATACCAGCGCCCTCTGCTGGCAGAAGTGCGGACGTGCCGAAGGAACTTAATATGTACGTAATGGAACAGACGTGACAAACGACCAAGGACATGAAGAAGAAGAAAAAAAAAAATAAAAACATTGTGTAAGAAATGTAAACACATTGTCCCAGTCTTCTTCTTAAGTTGAGACACACTGGAGTTTAGAGGAACATATGTATTTAGACAGGGAACACACAAGCAAGGCAAATTTAATTCTAAGCACAATTTCTACACAAGTAATTCAAAGTGTTTTATAAAGCAAGAAAGACATGAAAATCACAATACAAGCAAATCAAAACATAAATAATCATCATAAAATTTACATTAAAGAGAAGAGTACAGAATAAGAAAAAAAACAAAAAACTTTCAGTCGCCTGCAGCTAAACAGAACGTTTTGAGCCTGGATTTAAACAGAGTCAGAGCAGAAAACTGAAACACTGACTCCCATGTGACTATTTAGTCCTGACTCTGGGCACCAGCAGGAGGCCAGTTCCTGAAGTCCTCAGAGTGTGAGCTGCAGCATTCTGGATGTTCTGTCCTACAACTCATTTGGAGAGGCCAGTGAGAGGCCGTTACGGTATCTAACCTACTGGAGACGCACGGATAAGTCTGCCCAAGTCTGCTTAGCCTGCAAATTTCACATTTGCAAAAAAAAAAAAATAGGCAAAAAGAAAACCAAATAGCAACCACAATAGTCAATGATATGATCTGGCAGTTAAATACCAGTACTTACAAGATTGAATTAAATAAAACCAAACTAGTGAAATTGTGTAATCATCACCTGCTCATGGAAGTTGCATACTGTACCTTTAATTTGTTTTGTTTTACTAGAAACACAATTCCAATACCAACCCCCTAAATTTGATCTCTGTTTACATTTTGTACTCACCAACCTTTATAATTTATTCTGTTAAAAAAGCTATATATATATATATATATATATATATATATATATATATATATATATATATATATATATATTATATATATTTTTTAGTTTTTATTTATTGCATTATTGTATGATTCCTTGTGTTGAAATGACGTAATGTTACAGGTTAAATCTAACAAATTAGTGTAAAGTCACATTCATAATATTTACAGAAAATAATATTTAAAGAAAAAACATACAGGTTAAGGACATTTGATTGACAGACTGAGCTGAGCTGTTCTGAATGTCACTTTAGAAATGAAATGTCAGGAATGAAAATACTGTAAAAAGTTTGACTAGGGAACAGTCACATGGAGCAGTGAGGCTGTCATAGTAATGTCATTGATGTATGGTGTAAACTGGTCACTAGATGGCGCCATCTCCGTGAATTACAGTACTGGATCTCTACAGTCAGTACACTACAGTAGACATTTTCCATTTTCTTCCGGCATGCAAAACAGGGCAAAAATATCTCCTTCCTCGTCCTTCCTTCTCTTTTTTGTTGACCTCTTAGAGCTACGTCATGAGGTCAAGTATAAGGACCAGTGAGGAGGAGGAGCAGTGAGGAGGAGCAGTGAGGAGGAGCAGTGAGGAGGAGGAGCAGTGAGGAGGAGCAGTGAGGAGGAGGAGGAGGAGGAGCAGTGAGGAGGAGCAGTGAGGAGGAGGAGCAGTGAGGAGGAGGAGGAGGAGCAGTGAGGAGGAGCAGTGAGGAGGAGGAGCAGTGAGGAGGAGGAGCAGTGAGGAGGAGGAGGAGCAGTGAGGAGGAGGAGCAGTGAGGAGGAGGAGCAGTGAGGAGGAGGAGTGAGGAGCAGTGAGGAGGAGGAGGAGCAGTGAGGAGGAGCAGCAGTGAGGAGGAGCAGTGAGGAGGAGGAGGAGGAGCAGTGAGGAGGAGCAGTGAGGAGGAGGAGAGCAGTGAGGAGGAGGAGGAGCAGTGAGGAGGAGGAGCAGTGAGGAGGAGCAGTGAGGATGAGGAGGAGCAGTGAGGAGGAGGAGGAGCAGTGAGGAGGAGGAGGAGCTGTCGCTGCTTTTTGGTGGGATCCTTCTAACCAGTGGCGTGACGACAGCTGTAAAAACTACAACTCCCACAAAACGGACTAAACGCACCACCCTCACAGGCTTCTGAGAGTGGAATACTGGTACACATACATATGCATAACATATATACATATACATACATACCATAGACCGTAGTATATGACACATACATGCAGAAATATATAATATATAATAATAATGATAACAACAGCACAAAAGTTTATTGTTTAAGATCATACAAAATAAACAACACTAAGAATGAAAAATGTACAGATTTTTTTCCCTTCTTTTCTCCGTTTATGGTCGTACAAACTAATAATAATAATGATAACGAAGGCACAAAAGATTGTCATTTATGGTTATACAAAATAAAATATAAAATATGTTTTGTTTTTTTTTTGTTTTTTTTCTCTGTTTATGGTCAAACAAACTAATAATTATGATAACGAAAGCACAAAAGTTTGCAAAATAAACCACACGACGCAGGCACATCTTCAGAGTCACAACCACCTGTGGAGAAACAGAGATAGGAAATAATTTAGTTCAACCTAATCTGTTCAATCCTGTTCATATTTTGAAACAGACCCCATCAAAACTTAAACTAAACCCGACGACATAAAACAGCACATATGGAGGAAAAAGTGTGTACAAAGTGTAAAGGCTTCAAGTGCAGTGATCTCCAGAGCTCACATAACGCCCACTCTGCCCTCAGCCCTGCTCCTTTTCTCAGAGCAAAATGACTGTGACATCTTTAAAATCCACTTCACTACAGCCACATGAAAGTCAATGATATTCTTTCATTCACAGTTTTTTTTCAATGGCTTTAGCACATTAGTGAAACTTGGTTTAGTTTGATCCTTTGATTCAAACCTGTATCTCTATAACAGGTGCTCACATCATTTGGAACATTTCTCAGACTCTTTCTCAGAACACTTGACCCAGCTCTCGTTCACAAACACATGATCAGTGAATTCTTTGTTTTTTCACTACAGGACGCTTACTAAAACTTTCATTATTGGAACTTAAACATAACAGCAAAACTCAACATTTAAGAGGACACAAAATCTTTTTACTCATGAATCAAATAGAGAGAAAGGTCTTTGCAGAGAGTACAGTATACATACACCTATGATGCAGCAAATATATCTACACTGCAGATACTAAAGTGTAGTACTGTATGTCTGATCTCTTTTTTCATACAGTCTGTGCTCTCAACTGAAACCCTTCTTATCCTTTGTTGTTACAGATTTTGGGTGTTCATATTTAGTTTTTGCCAATTAAACTGGGGAGACCTCTTTATACTGTAAATCTACTCTTTTTTTTGTATTTTTCAATTATGTATTGTCTGTTTTTTCCTCATTGTTATTGAAGCACACACATCTGTCTTTATTTTAATTACAGTGGACTGGAAATTTCAAAGTACTTCTGTTCAGTACTAGATAACCAGAGCTGAATTGGTAAAAGTAATGGCCTAATAACTGTAAAATGTGGAAAAGGCACTTTATTGAATTATGTAGAAATCAGGGTAATCTTCATATTGAGGCTGACTCTGTTGTGGGCAAAATCGGCTTTCACATCCAGCTACCCTGTGGCCAATAAACTAAAATAAAGAGCTGTCTCTGGGCCAGGAGATTCTGTGCACATCTGAACACATAACACCTCCTTACAAACACATGTGGCTACATGAGTATACACCACAATACCAGCTTTGTATAAAAGAAAGTTTAAACATTCTGAGACTTTCTGGGCCAACTGTGACCAGTAAACAGTCTTATTACATCTATCTATCTATCTATCTATCTATCTATCTATCTATCTATCTATCTATCTATCTATCTATCTATCTATATTATATATATAGAGAGAGAGGATATCAGCTGAACCAGTATTTGGAAGAGTCAATTCACCAAATTTTCACAGACACCTGTATCAGATCGGTGCACCCCTCATGTGTGTGCCCTGCACAGGGGTAGAGGTATTGAATGGGGGCCCATCCAGGTTCAGGGGCAATAGGCGGCCACCTACTGTTCCCTGTTGGTAGTGCCGCCTCTGGCTGGGTCAAGTGTTCTGAGAAAGAGCCTGAGAACTGTGTGATATTATGAGCAGTGTTCCAAATGATGTGAGCACCTGTTACCCTGTTCAGATACAAGTTTGAATCAAAGCTTCAAACTAAATCACTTTCAAAAATTGTAATTTAATAAAAAGTGTAAACAAAACAAGACTATGGCCTCTCATTTAGACTCCACTCATTGTATAAGATGAAATGATTCAAATGGAAATGATTACAGCCACCGTAGTCTCCCCAGAATCTATAGAAATGCTGTGATGTGTTTGCTAATCTGACATATATTATTTTTGTTCAGCATAAATATAGTTGATCAAATCAATGCAGTCCTCATATCAGTAATGTGCTTTTACTGTGTGACAAAAACACAGCTGTGTGTGATCCCAGATTCAACAAACACATGACCAGAGTCTGAGAGTTTAGATGGAAAACTGGCTCTTGGGGGATGATTGATCAGTAAAGTGTGTTTAGTAAATGCCTATGTTCAATAGAGAAGTGTGTTAAAGTGAAAAAAGGACTCCATGAGTCAGTTTGAGAAAAGAGAGCAATGTGTGCGACTGCTGTCACTACTCACTCCAGTGTCTCCAGTCGACAGTGAGGACTCTGTTCAAGCTCCAGGAGCTCCTTCATATCTGATTCACTCAGACTGTTATGACTCAGATCAAGGAGTGTGAGATGTGAGGGGTTGGACTTCAGAGCTGAGGCCAACGAGGAACAGCTCCTCTTTGACAAACCACACTCCCACAATCTGAATAAAGACAATATAATGTGTTAAAATCCATATAAATACAGATTGTGTTTACATGATAATATAGTCACACTAAAAATATGAAAAGCATGAAAACTGTTCTAAATGTTGTCAGATATTTTCTGGGCCATTTAAATCAACAGTACACTCCACCATGAATATATTGTAAATATTGATACTGAAGTCCAAATTTACCAGAACAATTCTCCACCATTGAGCCAGGAGTTGTTCCTTGGACCAGTCCTTTTGACTTCTATTTGAGAAATATAATTTACAAGTAACAGTACTTTTCTTGTCTCAATTGAAATATCACTGCTTTGGTTTGAGTGTTTAAGCATTAACCTTATCTATCAGCATAGGGACAAAAAATGACACCACCAAGTCAAGTTACAGCCCAGATCTGTGGTGACACGCGCCCACTCAAGAGTAAGAATGGAGCTCAACAATGACCACCCACAGTTCCAAAAGTACATTTTTCATTCTTTTTTTTTTTACTAGACTTCTTCACAAAAAAAGTATAATAAAAGTTTAAAAGTTTCCTCAGGGCTAAACTCCGTGTTAACTAAAGACCATAAGACCTATCATCTTATTTAAAATCTGTTTCTCAAACTCAGGGCAGTTGCTCGCCAACATGGTGCCCTAAGCACAAATGGCCTGGACTTGGACTTTGGATGGATAGTTTCACAAAGATTCACAAGCCTGATTTATGGGTGGTGCCCCCACACGCACTCAGTGCCCTACACGCTGTGCGTAATGTGCATGTGCAGCTCTGCTGAACCTTTGTAAACCACTAAGTTATTAAACCATTTCGCCAAATCTTGTGTTTTAAATGTGCTTTTTGGACTTAAAACAGCATCATGGCTATTAGTTACCACATAGTTGCTTGGCCTCCTTTGTGGAAATTTTACTTCTGAAACCTGAGCTAACTTCGAAGTGTGCAGGACTGTTGATCTCTATGTGAGATAGTTAAGTTTAATGCTATACTGTGGTACATTAAGGGCAACATAATGGTATCTCCATGCAGACAAGTAGGTCTTAGAGAGGTTTTCCAACCTCATTTATCAAGTGTTTGCTCAGCTACAAAACATACAATCATGCTAAAAATGAAGCAAAACTCTTACGCAGACACTGTAAAAGACGCTGTGTTGCTCCTTTTATTTTAATGAATTTGCAAAACAAGGCCTTTTGACTGTCCCATGACTTTGAGACTTTTCTATTTGATAGAATCTTCCCTGTCCTAAAGAGAAGTCTGTCTCAGGTCCTAAAGTGGGACACATCCACAAACTGAACATGCTGTTTTTTATTTTTGAACTCACAGTTTTGAGCCTGGATTAAAAACTGAGGCCTAGAGTGTCATTAGTTTTAATATAATTCTTGCCCACCTCTGAGTCCAAGTCCAGAGTAAATACTAGAGGTTATTATGGCCGAGCTCTTTAGTTAAAGCTCTGAAACATGACACAAGTAAGAGGCAGTGAACTGACCTGAGAGTCTCCAGTCGACAGTCTGGACTCTGCAGAAAACCACACAGATGAGACACTCCTGAATCACACAGTTTTGTGTTATAACCAAGGTCCAGGTGTGTGAGATGTGAGGGGTTGGACTTCAGAGCTGAGACCAGAGAGGAACAGCTCTTCTCTGACAAACCACAGTTCATCAGTCTGAATAAAGAAAACATGATGTTGTTAATGTCCATAGTAAACTCAAATTAGACTATAGACAATTTCTGAATAATAGTACAATGAAAAAGGATCATCAATAACAAATGCATATTTTTACTAAAGTCAGTACTCTTTCTTAGGTCAAAATTCTGATTCCTCTTTTCACAGTTCGATGTCTGTAAGTGACAAATGTTTTATTTTGGCAATATGAAATTATATGAAATTTTTGTGTTTCTTGCACCGTACCTTCACACATGATTGAGTGTTTGTAATATTTACGGTCTTGGAAATAGCAGAATAAATAAATCCCCATTTATATCCAGACAAAACTTCTTTTACAATTACTGAAGAATAGTAGTTTCTTTAGTGAAAGCTCTGAAAAAATGACACAAGTAAGCGACAGTAAACTGACATGAGCGTCTCCAGTCGACAGTCTGGACTCTGCAGAAAACCACACAGATGAGACACTCCTGAATCAGACAGGTCCGTGTTAACACTCAGCTCCAGAAGCGTGAGGTGTGAGGGGTTGGACCTCAGAGCTGAGACCAGAGAAGAACAGCTCGTCTCTGACAAACCACAGCCCTTCAATCTGAATAAAGAATAAATAATATGGTTAAAGTCCATAGAAATGTAGATTATGCTTATAGAGACATGAATAACAGTTCAATGAAGGGGGTAATACTGTAAATAAAAACAATGATACCTGAGCAGTGAAAAAAGTTAGTGATACTAAGTTATATTTATTTGTGTCACTTTTTATAGGATTCATTTTGTTCCATAATCATTTTCTTGCATGACATATTTACTTCTACTTGAGTAATATTTGTATTAAAGTCACAAAGTTTTGAATCTTCTCAGCTTTTGATGTCTTCAAGTGACTAAAGTTTTATGCTGACTAGGGCCCGAATGATATATATCGGACGGCTGATACTGTGGCGGCAGTAGCTCAGGTGGTAGAGCGTTTGTCCACTGATCTGAAGTGTGATTCCAGCTCCCACAGATGAATGCTGTTGTTGTGTCCTCAGGCAAGACACTTAACCCACCTCGCCCCCAGTGTCTGCGTACACTGGTGTATGAGTGTGTGTGTGAATGGGTGAGTGGTTCCTTGTTGTAAAGCTCTTTGAGTGGAAGGTGAAGGTGGAAAAGCACTATAGAAAAATGTGACTATTTACCATATGGGCACTTGGAGACATACTGGCTCTCCACCTAAATCTCGCCTATATGGGCCGATTGTCCACATGGGCATGTTATACCTTGTTATAAAGCTTTGTCTCTCTATATTATGTCCATTTAATCCAACTTACAGACAGATAAATGTACTAATATGTGATGCCCATCAATATTTATCAATATTTATCTATGTCACTCATGTGCGCTTGTTTACACCCGTGCACAGCCATAGATTCATGTGCGCAACACTGAGGCGCTGGTTTTAAACGCTCTTGTGTCTGATCCACAATACTGACTATAAATAAAAGTGAACTTCAGCGCACTTTAGTCCACCGGTAGTTCACTCACTTTCTTTATAGGCTAGAATGTCATGCAAAAATGCCATTAGGCTGACCTACTGTCTTTAAAATGACTCTAAAGAGGCAAAATAACAATGAATGTAGCCTAAACAAACCCAATTTAAAATCCAGTAGAGCTAGACCTAAGTTTTCTAATCAACTAAAGATTTACAATGAATTTTTACATCAAGGTTAGTCCGTATGAAATCAGCTGCCCTCCCCTATGAGCCATCTCAGATTTGGCTGAAAAAAAGTTCAAAAAAATTCTAAAATCACCAAATGAAAAAATCTCAAATTTTAGCTCAATCCCTTCACTCTTTCCTGAGTTATGGCCCATTGAAATTTTGGGACCATGCTCACTTTTTTGGAAGCCTTAATTTATAAGCATGTTTGAGAGACCATAACTTCATAGAAAATAGAGCTAGGAAACTGAAAATGTGCATCATTGTAGATTCTGAATCTGTTGTCAAATATTGGGTATCTTTATTAAGGGGGGTGCTGGGGCCCCCAAAATCTCAAATTTGTTTGCAGCAAGATCTATTTACTTTAGACCTCAAAAATTGAAAAAATAAATATATAAATAAAAATTGAGCGGTAACCAAATGTGAGATTTTGGGGACCCACAGCACCCCCTTATTAAAGATACTCAATATTGACAACAGATTCAGAATCTATGACCAAGAATCCACAAAAATAGAAATTTTCAGCTTCCTAGCTCTATTTTCTATGAAGTTATGGTCTCTCAAACATGCTTGTAAATTAAGGCTTCTGAAAAAGAGAGCATGGCTCCAAAATTTCAATGGGCCATAACTCAGGAACGACTATAGGGATTGAGCTAAAATTAAATTTGAGATTCTTTCACTTGGTGACTTTAGAAAAAAATTTTTCAGCCAAATCTGAGATGGCTCATAGGGGAGGTTCCTTGAAAATGGCTGATTTCATCCAGACTGACCCATCACTAAATATATTGGCTTTTATATCCTACAACTCCCATTTTATCGGTATCATATTGATCGGGCTCTAATGTTGCCAATATGAAATTAATTGAAAAGATGTGTTTCTTCCACTGTACCTTCAGATATGATTAAGTGTTTGTAATATTTATGGTTTGTTTTGGAAATGGCATAAACACTTTTGTAAGTTACATTCACTCACAATTCCTCTGTTACACTCAAATATGTTCACTCTTACTCAAGTCATTTTTGGATCAATTTTTTATTATTATTTTTTTTATTTGAAAAATTTTATATAAAAGTAACAGTACTTTTACTTGAGTACAGTCATCAGCTACTCTACCATCTCTGAGTCCAAATCCAGAGTAAATACTAGAGCTTATTATGGCCGAGCTCTTTTGTGAAAACTCTGAAACATGACACAAGTAAGAGACAGTGAACTGACCCGAGAGTTTTCAGTCGACAGTCTGGACTCTGCAGAAAACCACACAGATGAGACACTCCTGAATCAGCCAGGTGTGGGTTCTCACTCAGATCCAGGACTTTGAGGTGTGAGGGGTTGGACTTCAGAGCTGAGGCCAGAGAGGAACAGCTCATCTCTGACAAACCACAGCGCTCCAATCTGAATAAAGAATACATGATGAATACACGTCCATAGAAATATAGACAGTGCCTGTAGAGACATTGTGAATAACAAATTAAAGACATGATAATGATAATACAGTGTTTCCCACAGAAAATTGGTTAGGCAAAGCGATGCTGCCAAAAAAGTGAGATGGCACGGACAAAAATATTAAAAGTGAGGAGCGGGGGTTGTGAAGTTATTCCATGTGACGACCGTAGTCTTGCGAGGATTCACGTGGTTTGGAGAGATATAGTCAAGGCGGGAACCACTTGCTGTCTTCTAGTTCTTCTAGTTTTTTTAATATTTTCTGAACTCAAGAGATACTGTAGACAATGAGTCACACTAAAACAAGAGTAGAACAAACACGAAACAACAGCAGTCTCAATTCAGCCGAGCCAGTCTCCTAACACACCAGTCACGTATAAAAGGAGTTACATTAACACATTAACAGTTACAAAACAAACTACAAAAGGTGTCAACCCTGAGCTAAACACAAAGTATTAATTCATTACAATATGAAAAGAATTTCTGAATATGTCCTTTTTTGTGTGTGTGTGTTTAATGCCAAATACTTAATTAATTGTTAATTGTATTTTCCATTTACTTAACAAATATTTCCCATTGAGATTCAAAATATCTTGGACAAATCAATACACGCATCACAAATTTCGGACTTCTGGTCATTGCGCAATGCATACTGGGAAGGATTTTCCAAAAAAAGTGAGCATCAAACCGCCATGGTTGTTTTCCCAGTGGAATACATCTATTGACAAAGCCAATTTTTTCTAGTCTTTTGAACCATATGGCTTTTGTGTCTGGTTTTGATATTGTCATAATTTTAGTTTTGGGATTCGGACATCATAATTGTGTGGTTGTTGGATGTCCTAACAGCGGAAAATGGGCTTCAGAAGTTTGCAAACTCCGTAAATGCAAAAGGGAATCAGATCTGTGTGAATCTATGTGTCCGAATCCCATAACTAAAATATGACAATATCAGAACCAGAAACAAAAGCGATATGGTTCAAAAGAAGTTTGGCTTTGACAATAGATGCATCCCACTGGCAAATCAAAGATGGTGGTTTGATGCTAATTTTTTCGGAAAATCGTTCCCAGTATGCATTGCACAATGACCAGAAGTCCGAAATTAGTGATGCATGTATTTAAAACATAAAATCACAAAATGTCACATTATGCACCATTTGCATCTCGTGAAAGCTCTGAAACATGACACAAGTAAGAGACCGTGAACTGACCTGAGCGTCTCCAGTTGACAGTCTGGACCCCGCAGCAAATCACACAGACGAGACACATCTGAATCGGACAGTCTGTTATAACTCAGCTCAATGTGAGTGATGTGTGAGGGGTTGGACAAATCATACTGCTCCATTCTGAATAAAGAATACATGATATGGTTATACATCTTATATGACAGTTTTTCTCCAGGGGCGGTTCTACGTCAGGGGCCACCTCTAATCTGATTGGCTCCTGAAGTACCCCTGTTGTGTCAATCAAGTAACGAGAAGAACAACGAGAGAATTCAATGATCCCTGATGCAATTCCACCTTTAAACTCTTGGTGGCAGTAGATGCATTGATACAACTTAATGGGAGAAGAAACAGACCTGTGAAGGACTTTTTTTTTTTACTGTTTATCCTTGAAACGTCTTTGTGTATGTGTGTGCACGGGTCTACATCTGTAAGAGTGCATGTGTGTCTCTGTGCGTGAGTATGTTTGCATTTAATGATTGTTTTATATATTGTGTCCTTTATGCACACAGGATGAATAAATGAGAAAATTATTATGAACTTTACTGCTTCACCATGTTTTATATGTGTTTAAAAAAAGGTACTGGATGACCGTCCAAATGTACTGGCACCGTACTGAATTAATCATTTCTGTGCTTGGATGAACCCCTTAATTAGCCAGGCTGGCGCCACCTAGTGCCTCCGCTCAGTTTCATTTCTCTCCATCGACTAGGTCAGGAATTACTAGATGGTTCACAAAAACCCTGGAAGTGCGAGTTTGGGCACTAGTCAATCAGCGAAGAGCCATACATTATGTGTTGGCAACGATTTCCGAGATCGAGGATTTAAAGCCGGAACAAAGAGAATGTTTGGTGAATTTTATCAAGGGGAAAGACGTTATTGCCCTTCTTCCTACAGGAGTTGGGAAAAGCTGAATATACCAGTTAGCCCATTGGCGCATTGCATATGTCATGATCAAATAGCAGCGATTGGTTAAATGAAAAAAGTATCTGCCTACTGTTGAGCGAACGAATTGTAACGCTGCGAGGTCAGACGGTTTCTACGACGTGAAAGCAGCCGATGAATCAGGCTACCCCTTAATGGCCCCTATTTCAGGAAAATCCTAGAATCGCTATTGATTGTTAAAACTAGAGCCCGACCGATATGGATTTTGCTGTGGCCGATATGAAACCGATATAATGGGAGTTGGCGCTGCCGATAGCCGATATAATCGCCGATATATTTAGTGATGTAAAAATTCACTGTAAATGTTGAATTGTTTAAAAAACTTAGGTTTGGCTCTGGTGGATTTTAAATTGGGTTTATTTAGGCAACATTTATTGTTATTCTGCCTCTTTACATCATATTTACAGACAGTAGGTTGGCTTAATGGCATTTTTGCATCACATTCTAGACACTAGTGATGGGTATTCCAGTTCTTTTTAGAGAACCGGCTCTTTTGGCTCAGCTCACTAAAAGCTGCTGGTTCTTTTGGCTCCCAAGCGGCTCTTCAGATTGTTTTGTTGCAAGCAGGTCTAAAGCACGTCTAAAGCAGGACTGAATCAGGACTGAACCAGGTCTAAACCAGGACTGAAAAAGGACTAAACCAGGACTTATTTATTTTATTTTATATTATATTTATTATTAATTTATTTATCTACAGTCAAATATGCTCGTTTTTTTTTTTTTTTTTTTTTTTTAATCCTACGTACACGCAAATTTCTCAAAGTTTCGTTTTGAGCCGCTGCCGCTGTCAAACCACGAATCACGCGGCGTGAAGAGAAAAAAAGTGAGAAAAAGAGAAAACACGGCTCCCAATAAGGATCAGACTCCCGTCGTTCCCTTCAAAGAGCCGGTTCTAAGAGTCATTTCGTTCGCGACGGACCCATAACTAGTAAAGAAAGTAGCGCTATTAGCCATCCATCCATCCATCCATTTTCTTCCACTTATCCAAGGTCGGGTCGCGGGGGCAACAGTCTGAGGAGGGCCTCCCAGACTTCCCTCTCCACACACACTTCCTCCAGCTCTTCCAGGGGGATCCCGAGACGTTCCCAGGCCAGCCGAGAGACATAGTCCCTCCAGCGTGTCCTGGGTCTTCCCCGTGGCCTCCCGAGGGAGGCGTCCAGGAGGCATCCGAAACAGATGCCCGAGCCACCTCAACTGGCTCCTCTCAACGTGGAGGAGTAGCGGCTCTACTCCGAGCTCCTCCCGTGTGACTGAGCTCCTCACCCTATCTCTAAGGGAGCGCCCAGCCACCCTGCGGAGGAAACTCATTTCGAGCGCTTGTATCCGCGATCTCGTCCTTTTGGTCACTACCCAGAGCTCATGACCATAGGTGAGGGTAGGGACGTAGATTGACCGGTAAATCGAGAGCTTCGCCTTTCGACTCAGCTCCCTCTTCACCACAACAGTCCGATACAGCGACCGCATCACTGCCGACGCTGCACCGATCCGCCTGTCAATCTCACGCTCCATCCTCCCCTCACTCGTGAACAAGACCCCGAGATACTTGAACTCCTCCACTTGAGGCAAGGACTCTCCACCCACCCGGAGAGGGCAAGCCACCTTTTTCCGGTCGAGAACCATGGCCTCGGATTTGGAGGAGCTGATCTTCATCCCAGCCGCTTCACACTCGGCTGCAAACCGCCCCAGTGCACATTGCAGGTCCTGGTTCGATGAAGCCAACAGGACAACATCATCTGCAAACAGCAGAGATGAAATCCTGTGGTCCCCAAACCGGACCCCCTCCGGCCCCTGACTGCGCCTAGAAATTCTGTCCATAAACACAATGAACAGAACCGGTGACAAAGGGCAGCCCTGGCGGAGTCCAACATGCACCGGGAACAGGTCTGACTTACTGCCGGCAATGCGAACACAGCTCCTGCTCCGGTCATACAGGGACCGGACAGCCCTTAGCAAAGGGCCCCGGACCCCATACTCCCAGAGCACCCCCCACAGGACACCACGAGGGACACGGTCGAATGCCTTCTCCAAGTCCACAAAGCACATGTGGACTGGTTGGGCAAACTCCCATGAACCCTCGAGCACCCGATGGAGAGTGTAGAGCTGGTCCAGTGTTCCACGGCCAGGACGAAAACCACACTGCTCCTCCTGAATCCGAGGTTCGACTATCGGCCGGATTCTCCTCTCCAGTACCCTGGCATAGACCTTACCGGGAGGCTGAGGAGTGTGATCCCCCTATAGTTGGAACACACCCTCCGGTCCCCCTTCTTATACAGAGGGACCACCACCCCGGTTTGCCAGTCCAGAGGTACTGTCCCCAACCGCCACGCGATGTTGAAGAGGCGTGTCAGCCAAGACAGCCCCACAACATCCAGAGACTTAAGGTACTCAGGACGGATCTCATCCACCCCCGGAGCCTTGCCACCAAGGAGCTTGCCAACCACCTCAGTGACTTCGGCCAGGGTGATGGATGAGTCCGCCTCTGAGTCCCCAGTCTCTGCTTCCTCCTCGGAAGACGTGACGGTGGGATTGAGGAGATCCTCAAAGTATTCCTTCCACCGCCGGACAACGTCCCCAGTCGAGGTCAACAGCTCTCCCCCCGCACTGTAAACAGTGTTGGTGAAGAACTGCTTTCCCCTCCTGAGGCGCCGGACGGTTTGCCAGAATCTCTTTGAGGCCGTCCGATAGTCCTCCTCCATGGCCTCCCCGAACTCCTCCCAGCTCCGAGTTTTTGCCTCCGCGACCACACGGGCTGCAGCACGCTTGGCCCGCCGGTACCCGTCAGCTGCCTCAGGAGTCCCATGAGCCAGCAAGGCCCGATAGGACTCCTTCTTCAGCTTGACGGCATCCCTTACTTCCGGTGTCCACCACCGGGTTCTGGGGTTGCCGCCGCGACAGGCACCACAGACCTTACGCCCACAGCTCGAGCAGCTGCATTGACAATAGAGGCCGAGAACATAGCCCACTCGGACTCCATATCTCCAGCCTCCCCCGGAATCTGGGAGAAGTCCTCCCGGAGGTGCGAGTTGAAGATCCCTCTGACAGAGGGCTCCGCCAGACGTTCCCAACAGACCCTCACAATACGCTTGGGCCTGCCAGGTCCCTTCCGGCTTCCTCCTCCGCCAGCGATCCCAACTCACAACCAGGTGGTGATCAGTTGACAGCTCAGCCCCTCTCTTCACCCGAGTGTCCAAGACACGCGGCCGGAGATCAGATGACACGACGACAAAGTCGATCATCGACCTCCGACCTAGGGTGTCCTGGTGCCACGTGCACTTATGGACACCCTTGTGCTCGAACATGGTGTTCGTTATGGACAAACTGTGACTAGCACAGAAGTCCAATAACAAAACACCGCTCGGGTTCAGATCGGGGAGGCCGTTCCTCCCGATCACCCCTCTCCAGGTGTCACTGGCGTTGCCCACGTGGGCGTTGAAGTCCCCCAGTAGAACAACGGAGTCCCCAGTCGGTGCACTGTCCAGTACCCCTCCCAGGGACTCCAAGAAGGCCGGGTACTCAGCACTGCTGTTCGGCCCGTAGGCTGACACCACAGTGAGAGACCTGTCCCCGACCCAAAGGCGCAGGGACACGACCCTCTCGTTCACCGGGGTGAACTCCAACACGTGGCGGCTGAGCTGTGGGCCTATAAGCAAGCCCACACCAGCTCGCCACCGCTCCCCGTGGGCAACGCCAGAGAAATGGAGGGTCCAACCCCCTTCAAGGAGTTGGGTACCAGAGCCCAAGCTGTGCGTAGAAGTGAGCCCGACTATATCTAGCCGGTATCTCTCAACCTCCCGCACAAGCTCGGGCTCCTTCCCCCCCAGCAAGGTGACGTTCCACGTCGCCACAGCCAGATGCTGTGTGTGCGGACCAGGCCGTCGGGACACCCGTCCCTGACCGCCGCCCAGTCCTCTATGCACCCGACCCCTATGAACCCCTCTGCGGGTGGTGAGCCCACAGGGGGGTGGACCCACGTCGCCCGGCCGGGCCCCGTGGGCAAAGGCCCGGCCACCAGGTGCTCGCATTCAAGCCCCAACCCCAGGCCTGGCTCCAGGGTGGGGCCACGGCTGCGCCATACCGGGCGACGTCAGGGTCCTCGATATTACACTGTTCATATGGGTTCTATGAACTGCTCTTAATCTGCCCCGTCACCTAGGACCTGTTTGCCATGGGAGACCCTACCAGGGGCATAAAGCCCCGGGCAACATAGCTCCTAGGATCATTCGGGTACGCAAACTCCCCCACCACGGTAAGGTGGCAGTTCAAGGGGGAGTTCACAGCTCATTTACATATCAGTGCAGGTCCAGTAGCAAATATACGGCCAATATAGTCACTGTAGAACAGACCAATAGAAAACAGTATGTTTATGTGCGGGAGCTACAGCAGCTAACCCATAACAAATGACAAAAACTAGCTTCAGAGTCGACATATTTCCAACACTCACCGCTCATACAGGCTCCTCCTCACATCACAAATCTGCACTAATAAATGTCCTTTTAATCCAGACTCAAACCGATTGTCCGTAAAAAGAACATAATCTCAGTGTTTGGATCTGTGTCTGCAGGTGTAAACAAACACATGTGAGTGACGCGACTCTGTGGTGTGTTCAGGGACAGTACAGACACACACAGACAAATGACTCCGTAGATAAATACTGATGTGGAGCCACATATTAGGACATTTATCTGTCTGTAAATTGGATTAAATGAACAGAATGTAGAGAGTCTAAGCTTTATAACGAGGTGTAACATGCCCACGTGAAATATTGGCCCCTATCAGCAAGTATATCGGCCGATAGCTTAGGGTTAGCTTAGGGCTGATGGCCGATATGCCTAAAGTTGCTCATATCAGCCGATAATATCGGCCAACCGATATATCAGTCGGGCTCTAGTTAAAACACTGCAAAAGAAAAAAAAATTTAATTGTCAACGGGAGAAAAGTTTTGTCCAGTTTTGAATGAAGACATTTCGCTGCTCAGTTCTGGTCGTAGTTCTACTGGGCCTTATAGCTGCATGGCAACACTGAAACACCTATTTGTTTACAGGATCTGTTTTTTTAGCTGGGTATATTGAAGTGTGAACTATGCCTGAGTCATATTAGCATAATCATTCAGGCCCCTGATGGGTGATCTCACACCTATTAGCCGACAGCCTGTCACTATTATTGATTTAGCTCTGAGCATAGTGTTATAAACAGGAGATAAATGATACTTAAGCCACACCATTCCTGCTCAAAGAAGGCTTCTTTAACTCCCCTGTCAAACCTTTTCTTTTGTCTGGCTAAGATCTGTACGTCACTATCCTCAAAGGTGTAGTTGGTACATTCTTTTATGGAGCGGCTGTTTAGTTTCTCCAATGTAACACTGCAGTCTTCACTACACTGAACAGACCGCTAAGTCGACCGCACTGTTTTGTTTGTGGCTCTGGGTTTTGTCCTTTGGGTGAACCAGTGTCTGTCAAAAAACGTTTGTAGGTTTGAAATAAAACGGTACATCATTAGGGAAGTAACAAACTGTTCTCTGAATTAAGTTCCTGTCAAGGGATTGTAAGAGGGAGAAGTAGCATGTTCACAGTTTTGGCCTCCACAAAATATCACAAATTTGGCACCGAGGTTTGGATATCATTACATCCCTAGACATCATGCTGTCTGTTTTTTGAACAGGGGGGTTTAGTTTTCACTCTGCAAAACTTTTGTCCGCTTGACAGATAAAATTTTTCTTTTGCTATGGATCACACCTGGAGACTGTAAGACTACATAGACACATATTTGCCATCCACTGCACCAAGCCCCTAGTCTGATTCAGCAGCCGGTTTCACCTCATGGAAAACCGTCCGACCTCGCATCATTAGAATTCGTTTGCTCAATGGTAGGCGTGTACTTTTTTTTTTAGTTTAACCAATCGCTAGTCGTGTAACAATAACCGAAATATTGTCATATCGTATCGTCAAAGTTCTTAAATTAAGTTCTTAAATTAAGAGTTATGGTGCAGAAATAGCTAAAAAAAATGTATATATATATGTAATAATAATAATAATAAAGACATAGGGAACTACATAGACCATGATCCTTTGTTCCATTTCAGTGTAGACTACAAGAAGAAATAACAGTTCTAAGCACTTTTAAGTCTTAGTTCTTTGGATTAAGTCTTGTAAAAGTATTTTAAGAGGAAAAAGTAGCATATTAGGCTCCACAAAATATCACAATAAATATCGTACCGTGAGATGTATGTCATGAAAATATTGTACCAAGAGATTTGGATATTGTTACATCCCTAATTATGAACCTCCCACCATATCGTAAGCTTTCATACGATATCGCCCCTACCAATCACAATTTGGTTGTGACGTATGTCTAACGGGGCTAACTGGTATATTAAGTTGTTCCCAAATCTCGTAGGAAGAAGGGCAATAACGTATTTTCCTTTGATAAAATTCACCAAACATTCTCTTTGTTCCGGCTTTAAATCCTCGATCTTGGGAATCGTTGCCAATAATGAATATATGACTCTTTACTGATTGGCTGGTGCCCGAACTCGCACTTCTGGGGTTTTTGCGAACCATCTAGTGTATTCTGATTCTTGACATAGTCGCTGGAGAGAAATGAAATTGAGCAGAGGCACTAGGTGGCACCAACCTGGTCCCCACAAGTCCCCACAGCTTCAACTCATTTCTCAAAAACGTGACTTTAGTTAAAACCTTGAACACATCTGAATAAAGAATAATGTGGTTCCGGTCCAAATAAATACACATTGTGAATAATAAAATAAAGACATGATAATATAGCTTTAATAATAATTAAAGCCGCATGTGGTGTTAAAAGCCCTCAGCCCCCCATGTGACTGCACAGCTCAGCCTGGAATAGAAACCAGAGAGCGACATGTTTCACTCTTTACATTTGAACTCTGACATTCGCAATGGCTACAACTTTAGGGGGAAAACTGCGACACAGTTCTGACAGTAGCAGCAGTAGTATAGTAGTAGTAGTAGTAGTAGTAGTGATAGTAGTAGCACTCATTTCCTTCTTCAGTGGCACTCTTTGATAACGGCTAAAACACCACATATCTTTGTTACACCCCCTATGAAGACCACAGCTGTTTCTACACAAGTTTTCTACACATCAGTGAATCTCAAAGTCACTTCCGCTCAAATAATAACATTGAGTTGAAACCCAAAAGTGCAACTCAGCTCGGCTCAGACGCCTCTGCTCCAAACACTTTCACTTTCGTCTCTGTGTTGAAGCTCAGCGATGTGACCCCTGTAGATTATGAACACGTTAAACCACTGGGGGGGCGCAATTTCCCAAATGGATTTAGTATATCTGCTTGTGATCTCATTCTCATGGTTACTCTCAATGTTGGGAGTAACATGTTATAAAAGTAATGAATTACTGTAATGCATTGCTTTTTGCTGTAACGCAGTAATGTAAGGCATTACAGGGGAAAAAATTGTAATGTTTTACTCGGTACAAATGTCAATAATGCGCGTTACAATGTTTTTTAACCCGGATCGAAGTGGTGGGGTTTTCAGTTTTCTTCATAATAATCACAGCGAAATCAGCAGCGGTGAAACGCCGGAGTCGCTCCTGCATAGACCGTCAGGTTACCGCGGGTGAAAGATTAGTCCTGGTTCTGGTATAGTCCTGATTTGGACCTGGTTTGGACCTGGTTTGGACCTGGTTTAGTCCTGGTTTAGACCTGGCTTAGACCTAGTTTAGTCCTGGTTTAGTCCTCAGTTCAGTCCTGGTTTAGACCTAGTTCAGTCCTGGTTCAGTCCGGGTTCAGCTCTGGTTCAGTGTTGGTTTAGTCCTGGTTCAGTCCATATACAGAGTAAAATTTCAGCATCTTCAGTTATTTTGGTGAGAGTAACTTAAAAGTAATGCAAGAGTCATGTAATGCCTTACATTTTAAATGCCGTAATATTGTAATGGAATGAATTACTTTGAAATGACAGTAACAAGTCATAAATAATGCATTACATTTTTAAAGTAACAACAGTGTTTATTCAACCAAATCCCGTGTGTGCACAAACAAAGGACCCTCCCCTCAGCTCATGGACACACATTAGTCTCTCCCCCCTCAGCACACGCATTCTCTCTCAATAAAAACAATAAACATTAAAGCCACGTCCCCACTCAGAGAGACATGTTTCACTCTTTACATTTGAACTCAGCTCCGTTTCAAACAAAGCTTTAGTCATTTTAACTAAACATCTGCGATCCCTGTTGTCGTGGTTCCAAGTGATGATTATTCGTAAAAAAGCTTCTCATTTCCTGCTTCAGTCCCATTCTTTGATTAAGGCTAAATCACCATGCATATACCCTACGATAAACCTCATTGGAAGAGTTTATCTGTTTTCTGTGGATGCCAGTGAATCTCAAAGTCACTTCTACTCAAATAATAATAATAATAATAATGTAAACTTGAAACCTAAAAGTGCAACTCACCTCGGTTCATACGATGCCTCTGCTCCAAAACACTTTCACTTTCGACACGCAGCTCGGTAACGTGACCAGCCCCTCCCCTCTGTGGATTATGTGTGTTATGAGCAAGGTCGAACCACTGGGGGGCGCATTCTCCCAAACACAATATGGATTTTCTATCTCTGCTATTATATCTTCTATTTTTACGCGTATGGCACAGTTCATTCACAAAGTAATTCAGGTAAAGTGTTTGACAGGATGTAGCTATATTCGTGCGAGATTATAGTTTTAGTTATAGAGACGTCTGTGAATTTAAATCACTCCACGACGTCTGTTTTTTCTGTGTACATTCGCAGTGGACACAGCACAGTTAACTACCTGTTTTTACGGACTTTATTCCGGAAATGGCGGATTGATAAACACGCCGAAACAAGGCAAGATCCTTTTAATCCCCGTTGGTTTTATTTTAAGTTTGTTTTTAACAGAATGCACCTGCACTGTGGCGTCAAACACGGTGCTTTTTACCATATTGACCGATGACCACGATGATCCACACGGTCAGATTCTTTATGAAACAGCCGCAGTCTCTTTTAATCCGTTCACGCAGAGACAGCCCCTCCATCCAAACTTTACAAACTTTGCACCAAAAGCACCCAGACTTTCCACACACATACATATGACCCCAGTTATAATTTACCAGGGGACCTCAAGACGAATCCCCCTGTGAATATTTATTTTTATTTTTTATATTTTTACTTTAAATCACAATACAAACAAATCAAAACACAAATAATCTTAAAATGAACCTTAAAAGAGTTGAGTGCCGCTTCAATTACTCAGCTAAACAGAACCTTTCAGTCATATGCAGCGAAAGGAAACCGTTTTGAGTCAGGATTTAAAATAAGAAATGCAAAGAGATGAATAAAATAAGATAACAGCAATGATTTACATCATTGACCTGTTTTTAACATGCATACTCCCTATGATAAGTACTTAGAGCCACAGTAATGTCACTTTTTAGCCATAAATAAAGAAAACACAAAAATAAAATTTCGGTGAAATTTCTATTTCATCATTTAACAGGGTAATAAACTCTTAAAGAATGTTTTGTGTCGATAGGAGCGGATCCAAAGTTGGTGACAGAAAACAGCGCTCCTTTGCCTGTGCGTGTGCGCAACGTGATTCTGACCAATCAGAAGGAGAGAGGGGCGGGGCTTAGAGCTGAGATGCGCAGCGCTGTAGAGCTGGTGCCTGCAGACAGAAAGAGAAAGGAATGATCTCATAAAAACTCATTTAAATGTTCAAGATGCTGATACTGCTGCAAAACAAAATTTCTGTGCACATAGAGAATAAAATACTCAGCTCAGTGTTAGAACAAAAATCTCTTCATTTTAGAGGTGCTGAAAATATGGCTTAAAAATGATATCAGTCATGTCAAGTTGAAGCGTCTTGCCTAAGGACACAATGAAACTGTGGAATTAAACATATGTTTTTAAATTGGAAGTTTGATTTGAGCTTGATCCTGGTTCAGGTCTGTGGATTGTACGACATTATTTAAACGGGTTTTGTTTGGTGAGCATGTGGCGCTCTCTGGTGGCACACTTAGGTAACACACGTCTAAAATTGCTTAGAAAAAAAGAACCGCCAAAAAAGTAAAATAAAATTAAATACAGACAAATGCAATGTACAAATGACAGTTGTTCAGGATTTTTTTCCCCGGTGGGTACTTCAGTGTTCAAAATGAAGACAAATTAATAGAAATGTGTAGAGTAGCCAAAACTTTTACTCAAATAAGAGTAACATTACTTCTGTTAGGATTTGTGTTTTTGTTCTCTCCCCCTCCCTTTTCTGTTTCAGAGCTTGAGTGTGGCAGGGGGCGTGGCTGGCTTTTTCCGGAGCAGATGAGACACACCTGCAATCAATCCCTTCATCTACCTCAGTATTTAGCCCTGGTCTTCTCATCACCACTTTGCCAGATAATTCCGTCCTGTTCGGTAGCGTCACCTGGCTCTTGGATTTATTCCCGTCTTGCTTATTTTTTGCCCTGGATTTACCTACTCCTGTTTTCTCCCAGGTGTCTCCTGGTCGTCTGCCGTTGCCTCCGGAGAAGTTGGCCAGCTCCCTGCCTCCTCAGCCTGCCTTCGTTTGTACAATAAACTGCTTAAACTTGATTGTGTTCTGATTCTACTTTTGGGTCCCTCGTCCCCCACCTTAACAACTTCTAGGCAAGGCAAGGCAAGTTTATTTGTATTGCACAATTCGTACACAAAGTAATTCAAAGTGCTTTACAGAATAAGAAATACATTAAAATCATAATAAAAACAAATCAAAACATAAATGGTCATGAAGATTAAAAATAAAAAAGGGAGACATAAATTGGAGAGAAGAGTGCGGAATGAAAACCTTTCAGTTATATGCACAGTTAAACAGAAATGTTTTGAGCCTGGATTTAAACAGCGTCACAGCGTCTAAATAGTATAACTTGAGTCGAAGTATAAAGTAAAACTGATTGAGCAAGAGTAATAAAAAATAAAATAAAAAATGGGAAAGGCACTCAGCATCTGTAATGTAACAAAATCTGGTATTCTCAATAGGCACAAAAATGAAACAAACTGAATCAACTGAAATAAACACAAAAGTTCAAATCATTTCATATCCACTTTTGGAGACTCACAATGGGAAGAGAAACCACAACCTTTACTGAAGTAAAACTACTACTACTTCAATAAAAATGTTACGCAAGGAGTAAAACTATACTGCTAGAAAAGTACTCTGAAAAGGACAATTACATCAAAAAGTCCTGAAATTAGGGAGAAGCAAATATTTACTGTATCTCCAGATATGTAGACATGTTCAAATCAATCACAGCTTTTACTGATAACAATTGTAATGTAGCCTAATGATTTATATTTAATAATAATAATAATAATAATAACAATAAATAAATAAATTATCAAAAATAAAATAAATAAAATACATAAATAAATAAACACAAGAAGTAATAAAAACTAAGTAAATAAATGAATAAATAAATAAATAAATAAATAAATAAATAAGCACATAAATAAATAAATGGACATGATGGGTTGGCAGTTCCAGAGCTAAAATCCAGCAGGTTTAAATGAAAAAAAAAAAAAAAAAAACACAACTCCAGGTCTGTTTGTGATGAGGAAACAACATTATAGATCAGAAAATTTTGTAATATGGCTCTTTAAAGTTCACAAGAGTCACGTGTTTGCCTCTCATAGTACCTTTAAACTGAGAGCCTTGTAACAACATCTAGCCGGTCTCCAACTCTCTCTCACGCCACCACAGTGCCCTCTGCTGGCGTGTCCCGTCCTTGCACCTCTTTAACCCAAATCAATGGGATACATACAGTAATGCCTGGCTTACGTTACACGCAGTTAATCGCATACGGTGCACAGCTGGCTTCTGGAGTAAGTCTATTTGGTCGTATCCAGCCGCTGTGACATTGGCAATAAGCTGTGTCCAGTGGAGTGCTGATGCGTGAATGGATTGTATTGGACGGTGCGGGCTTTAGAGCACTTAAAAACACTATTCTCTCCACTCTCTGCTCCATTGCCTCGGTCAGACATCTGCACAAAAGGAGGAGAGCTGTGCAAAAGTCCAGTCCTGAAAAAATAAAGAACATTTTCTCTGCGGTACAAAGGAACAATCGACGTATGTTTGTTTAAAGAAGGGCTGTTATGGTTTTTTTTTAAAGTGTTCTACCATGTTATAACGTTGTCCCTCATCAAAAAGCATTAATAAAGTGGTTTTAGATGTCGTCCATGCATGTTCGAGTAATTTAGCTCACCCGGGTCCTTTTCGAACCCTCACTTATTATTGAACAATTTAAAACTCATAATTTGAATGGGAAATGTAGCATACAACAGGAAGCTGAAACCCATACCAATCAGGTCACGTAGAAGTGTCTTGCTTAAAGACACAGTGGCATCATGTACAATCCAGTTATTGCACCTAAAAACAGGCTTTATTTAATTAACCTGTGGCGCACTCTGGTGGCACACTGAGGTATTACCTTTAAAATCGTCTTGTTAAAAAGAAAAAGTGATAATAAATATGGACAAATTATTACTGTTTCTTGTGTTGTTTTGATTGTCTGTTATTATCATTTATACAAGAACACGTTTACGAGTGAGGGGAGGATGGAGCGTGAGATTGACAGGCAGCGTCGGCAGTGATGCGGTCGCTGTATCGGACTGTTGTGGTGAAGAGGGAGCTGAGTCAAAAGGCGAAGCTCTTGATTTACCAGTCAGTCTTTGTTCCTACTCTCACCTATGGTCATGAGCTCTGGGTAGTGACCGAAAGGACGAGATCACAGATACAAGCAACCGAAATGAGTTTCCTCCGCAGGGTGGCAGGGTGCTCCCTTAGAGATAGGGTGAGGAGCTCAGTCACACAGGAGGAGCTCGGAGTAGAGCCGCTGCTCCTCCACGTTGAGAGGAGCCAGCTGAGGTGGCTCGGGCATCTGTTCCAGATGCCTCCATATTTACAGCAAACAAATTATTACAGTTGCTAATAAATGTGCAGGGCCTTTTGCAGTATTATAAATATCTTTAATTGTCAGTTGTTTACATCACTTTTTAGATTAGTACATGTGAAATATGACAGATTTTACAGATACACTTCCAGGAAAACGTCTGGACACACTCTCATTCAATGTTTTTATTTGATTTTTCTACATTGTATGAACATATGAAGTAAGATATATGGAATTATGTAGTAAAGAAAAAGGGTTAAATAACTACTAAATGTCTGTATTTTATAGAGATAGACTTGTTAGTGTATTGAGTGTTGGAATTTCAGTCTCCAGCGTTGGCCGATGTTTTGTTTTTGGCCACCCTTCTGCCTAAAGAGCACACATTAAACTTTATTCTAACACATTCACACGAAGAGAGATCTGCACAAAACATGACTACCCTGCCTCTACTCTGCTCTCTTACAGGTTTGTGATAAAATGTCTGTGGGTGCGTGTGTAGTAAATTTAAATTACAGCAGAGCTTATAGGCCACTGTTTTCTTAGTTAAATAGGCTTTGTTTAATTAGTGTGTGGCGCACTCTGGTGGC